AAAAAATAATTAATTAATTGCCCGTTTGCATCACTGCCTCCCCACCGATGACGCCAGCCTCGTGCGCGTGGCCGTCGTGGTTCGCACGTTGGTCTGAGTGAGGCACTGCTGACCACGTCGCAGCCGGTCGTCCATAAGCTTCTCTCACTGCCCAACACGAGACGTGCAGCAGCCTCTCGTCCTACGTAGCATCAAAGATAGGTAGATAGCCCCAGCCTCCGACGTAGTACGTAGTACTGCTTGTCTCCAGATAGATAGATGCCGTTTGCGGCATCCGCAGACAAGCATGGCCAAGCGCCCAAGCAACCTCGCAAGCACTTCCCCGCACGCTTTTGCCGCCCAGGCCCCGGACCCTTGCGGCTCCAACGGCACGCCACCGTGGATTGCTGCAACACAAACAAGAATAAAAGGCCTCCTCTTCTTTGTGTGTGCCATGGCCCATAGCCGGCACACTGCATACGCACGAGAGCATCCACCCGCCCACGCGCCGCTCCACGGCGTGCGTGCGAGCGATCCGCGAGGCAATCTCTTTTCGCAGTCGATCCTCCACACCGCACTCCTTTCGCCGGCCAACGCCATCGAGCCACATTCAATCTATTCCGACTGCCCACGGAGGGAGATGCGTACGGATCGCCGGCCGCTATCCCATCCCGCCTCCATGTTTGGACTTTTTGGCTTGCCATCCCTCAAGCCTCCCGATCCCGTGGCGCTGGCTCGTCGTACCCTTTATTTTCTGGCCTGTCCTGCCCTGCGTGATTGTAGATGGTGATGCGCGCGTAGACGGCCACGACACCGGTCACAAACTCCTCTCCTACTCTCACGCCTCTCCTTCCTCTCTCCCTTTCCTCCCTTCTCTACCACCTCAGCACACAACACCACCCCACCAACACAGCCCCCCATCCCCCTCAATCAGGCCGCCAGCACCCTCCCCCCCTTAAACACCCATCCCGATCCCAATCCAGACGAAACCCCCAACCCCGAATCCAGAATGAGGCAGCAAGGCAGGCACACGCCACAAGCCGCCGCGCCACACCTCATCACCACACACCACAACACCTCCCAAAAAAAAAAAACCCTCAATCCCCCTCCCCCACCACCCAGCCCGCCCCGCCTCTCCTGAATCCTCACATCCTCTACCACCACAGTCACGTCTTCACACAAAAAAACCTCAGAAAAAATCCAAAGCCACACATAGATACCTAGCCAGCATACCTGACGACACCCCCCCCCCACCCCGGCGCACCGCCACGGCCCGCATCGGCGTTTCAGAGTCCAGACGCGCGGTCTAGGCCCAGAGCGATCATCCAGGAGCCTCACCACGTCCACTTGCGCAGGAACGGTGGAGCCACGTTGCTATTCCTAGCACTCCCCACGCGCGGGCGTGACGCGTGTGGTGCTTGCTGGTGATGATGATGATGATGATGATGATGATGATGATGCCGGTACAAGGTTGTAGGGACCTAGGTAGTTCGTCTGCTGCCTGGCCTCAGCTCAGCACCCCACCCCACCACATCCCCACCCTCCTCCGTCCCTATGTAGTGCATACAACGTAGGTTAGGTAGTAGAAGAAGAAACCTAGCACATGGACAAGCTCCTAGGGCAAAAGAGCCGCCGCGATGACCGCACTTCCTTTGCCCCGGCTGCTACTGCTGTTGCTAGAATCCCAGGGATGCGCGCCGTGCTCAACGGCGTCGTTGTCACCGGTCAGTGGGCGGGCGGACGGTTCGCCGCGTGCGAGCCACGGTTGAGCGTGTTTCTGCTTGATTGAAGCTCCTCTGTCCCCTGCGAAAGTCTGGTACACCTCCTCCGCAGCAGCACCGAACGAGGGTATTTAGGATGCCCGTACTGCCCCTTCGACAGTCTCTGCTTCATCATCAGCTTCTTCTTCTTCTTCTTCTTCTTCTTCTTTGCCTCTTCTGTCCTCTCCTCCTCCCCTGTCCCCCTCCTCAACCCCCCACTTCAAACCAAGTTTCTTTCCTATCACACACCCTCCCCACCTTTTTCCTGTCCACTCCTTCAAGACCGCCAAGGCGCTTCTGCATCGTTATCGTCATCATCATCATCATTACTACCTTCTTTCTTTTTTCTTTCCTTGGCACCGTCACTTTTCGCTCCTTCAGTGACGTCTCGCACACACCATTATTTCGCTGATGGTGTCAGGTAGCCGGATACGCTCTTGGCATGCGCAAAGTCAAGTCGCGATACGTGGTTGAGTGCTCCAGTCATGGTGTTGATGGAAAAAACCGTAAGTGGAGGGGCGGTCGAACAAGCACTCGACACGCCGCTGCCCCGTCGACAGTGCGCAGAGAAGATAGTGGAAAGATAGTATGTTGACGACTATGGTGGTGCGGGTGGATACGCACGCCTGAGCATTGCGTCGTCAATTTTGTCTCAACGATCCCTGATCCTGACTGCCTGCGAGCAGGGGCGCATGTCAGGATGTGCATTCGCGTCGATCGATCGTCGTCTTCACGAACATCACATCACAACACCGGCGATCACAGATTGCATGGAGGAAGAGCTTGTGCGCGAAGTAGTATCGACGTTTGTTTGAAGTTTGTTCATCTCAGAGTTTTCTAATATCTACAGGCAGAAGGGAAACGAGTGAGCCATAAGGGCACGACTTGATGCATGATGCGGGGGTATAGCCATGAACATGGTTAGTCGTTCCTGCATCTAACAACATGTCGAAGAGCAAAAAGGTAATCCCGCATTCGCCGAAGCTGAATGAAGAAGAAGAAGAAGAAGAAGAAAGTAAGAAATCGTAACTCGTGGAGAAGCGCTGGACCTCGCCGCGCTAGCCATGTTGCGACCTGGATCAATCAGGTTGTTGCAAAGCGGTATGACAGGACCGTAGCCAGGCCAAGCCCGCCATCATAGCCGGAGGGGAAAGAAATTCGCTTAGTTGACCCACCACTTGACACCGTCGGTGGTACCATCAACCTGAGGAGCAAGGCTCTGGAAGAGGGAAGGAGACAGGTCAAGGGACCAAGGCTTGCAGCCAGGGCACTTGTCGACAATGTAGGCCTGGACCTCGTTGCCGGCGTACGAGATGGTGATGTTCTTGCCGCACCACTCGTTGCCGTTGCTCTGAGCACCCATGTTGCCAGCGGAGAGAGCGACGACGGGGTCGTTGTCAGAGTTGGTCCAGCCGCAGGCACCGAGACCGACGGTGTAGTGGGTGATGGAGCCGGTGTAGACAGTGCTGTCGGCGGACTGGGCAGTGACGGCGTTGTCGGAGGAGACGGCGGTGGAAGTCGCAACGGCGGTGGAAGAGGGAGCGACGTAGGTGGAAGTGGGCGCCTCGGTGGTGCTAGGCTCCGGGGTGACAGTCGAGGTAGGAGCGACGTAGGTCGAGGAAGGAGTGACCTCAGAGGAAGAGGCGACAACCGTGGAAGAGGCAACCTCGACGCTGGACGACTGGGGGGTGTTGACAGGAGTCTGGACCGGAGTGCTGACAGGAGTCTCGACGGGAGTGTTGACGGGAGTCTCGACGGGAGTCTGAACCGGGGTCTCGGCAGGGGTCTGAACGACCGAAGTGGGAGCAGTCTGCTCAGTGGGGTCGACCCAGACGGTGGCAGTCTCGACAACGGTCTCGATGACCTGAGAGTACTCGGTGACGACGGCGATGTCACGCTTGGGGAGCTGGGCCTTGTAGGGAGCAGCGGCGGCGAAGGCGCCGAAGAGAGAGAAAGCGACAATGCTGTTGGTCTTCATTTTGACAAGGTTGATTGCTGTAGAAGCTGGACCTGAAAAAAGAGGTGAAGAGACTGGCTTGCAGTTCGTGCTTTGGATTTGTTGGAAGGAAGGTGATGAGATGCTAGATCTCAAGAGAATGTGGTTGGTTCTGAAGGAACGATGGTAGTCGAGCGTCAAGCTTGCTGAGCCAGAAAAAAAAGAGCGAGGGGGTGGGGGTTTAAGTAGATTGATGAGGGTGAGTGAAGGATTGGGGGATTTGGGAGTGAATGGCAGCGGGCTGGGCCTCCACCAGGGCAGGTGCGACCAAAGCGACTAGCGCGCAGCCACAACGAGCGGCGACGGCAAGAAGTCCCCACGGCCAAGTAACCCGATTCGCTACCGACGCCTTCGTATTTGGCAGCGAAAAAAGTGCCGCGACACGACAAAGCGACACGACACAACCGTCATGTCTTTCACCAAACCAAAGCATGTCAGCACTTCACATGCCATGCAACCTGCAAGCGCCGGTGCGCTGTCTGCTGCCTGCGTGTGCTGCCAGCCCGTGCAGAAAGCCGTACCGCGTGCCTGGCAGCGTGTCGCCGGCCGCCCTCGGCGCGTCTGCAGTGTGGCCATGGCGTTTCAGCCCGCTAAACACTGGATGGGTGGGGAGACGGACGATAGTCAGGTACGAGCGCTCAGGCCGTCGATCCACGCCCGCGTGGCGTTCAGGGCTGGCTCACCCTGTGGTCCCGCCTACGCATCTCGGGCAAATCTCCAGCCCAGCCATTATTGCGGGCTGAACATCTTCCAATCTGGCAATCTCCATCGAGCAATTTCCTTCACAGGGCCGCCGTGCAGTCCGAGAGAGAACAAAGTCCAAGATGGCTCGTCTCCGCAGCCCGCTACGCCGCTCTTGGTGTGACCCACCCGGCCCATTGGACGCGTCTCCGCTGAGATGCGTCTGCCTGGACACTCACCACCCACTTTCCCCACGACCCAGACCTTGCGCGATTATCCATTCATCATGACGAAAGTTCCCATTACGCACAATGCCCCCGCGCTTGGCCAGAACGCCGCCCTGTGAGTGGTCGTCCAACGCCCGTTTGCAGAGTTTTTTACCCGGTTCCACAGCGCGTCAAGGTTATCGATACCTGCCCACCTCCACGCCGCGAGCCCTACCGATATGCCCATTCGCGGATCGCGAGTTTAGAACGTTCTTCGACCCAGGCTTACGCATAGTGCACCACTCTTTTCGACCCGCCAGCCCGCGTGGGACTCAGCCGCCAATGATGTCAACGGCTTCCGCGTTGTGCCTGGCCCTTCTTCCACGAGAGGACTCGGGTCTTCTGATCTCCGCTCTGCCGCCTTGAAAACCATGGTTCGGCTTTGCTCGCCGATGTAGGGCAACTCAACCCTACACGTGCGAACAACTGCCGGATGGGTCGGACACATCACCGTGACAGTCTTGCAAAGATTTCACTGCCTCAGTCCAACGGCCGCCATGCCATGTTGAGAGCGGCAAGCGTCGGCCCTGGATCAGAAAAAGTACTCTAAACTGCCTGCCTGTCATCATCCTGTACTACCACCTTTCAATTTCCCTGCCAGACCGTTGGGCCCTCTACACTGTAGCTAGCTACTCACGCCTATTACCCCTCACGGCTCCTGCGCCTCCACCATCCGCCCGGTTCTTTTACTTAGAGCATGTCTCACTGCTTCAGCCCTCCGCATGACCGTCGACGCAGCTTTTACTTTCACCGCTCACTCCATTGATATTGGCCGTCATAACACGTGCGTGGAGCCGAGCCTGCAACCATCCGCGTTGGGCGCCAGAGACGCCATATGTCAAGAAAGCGTGCGAGAACCCAGCCATCACGTTTAAACGTCTCGCCACCACGCTCCAGTTTGCAGTCTAGAATGTGCCTCTTTCGTTGTGTCTCCCACTCATTTCTGGCCCGGAAGTCCTGCCCGGACGCGCCTGTTACGCTGCACCACCTTCCTCATTGCCACACGTGCGCCTCAACCACTGGCTGACTATGTGCTGTGGTTCCCAACCTCCTCCTGCCTCCTCACCCATTGCTCACAGCTCGCTCCGTCAGACAGAAAGCCTCTATCACAAACCAAAAATCACAACAACTACTATTACCACTACCACGTTCCTCAGATAGATGATAGACCCCACTCACCAACTCGCTCACTCAGCGCGCGCGCCCCGCCAGCGCCATTGCCAGCACAACCCGCACCCGCATGCGCCAACAGACAGGCCTCCCCTGCCCGCCCTGCCGCCCTGCTTGCAAGTCGCTGCTCGCTGCAGCCCTCTCGCCCGCTTGCGCGCACCCACCCGGCGCATTTTCTCGCTCTTCGCGCCAGCCGGTCAGCCATTCTTCCGCCACCAACGTCGCCCTCGGGTCATTGCTCCTTGTCGGCGCGCACGCCCGTCTGCCTGTCTGTCTGTCTGCCTGTCTATCTGCGCGTCTGCTATTCTCCGCGACGCGTGCGCCACACGATCGGCTGGCCTGTGTGTCATCTTGTCTCGGAGCAAATATCAACAGGGCCGGCGTTGGCGTTGGCTTTGGCGTTGGTGTTGGTGTTGGCGCTGGCGCTGGCTCCTGGCGCGACAAAGCAAGCGCAAGTGCGCGCGTGCGGCTGAGGCTGGGTTGCGAGGCTGGCTGAGGGTTGAGGCTGAGCACAAGCGCCCTGCTACGAGTGCTACTACTAGGTAGGTAGGTACCGTGGCCCCTGGCGTGAGCGGGAGGCTCGTGTGAACGTACGAGCATAGCGCGATAGGGTGGGTGCGTGCTACAGTGTAGCGTCGTAGTAGGTGCCTACATCTTGACGGATAGATCTAATCTTGGTAGCTACATAGATAGGTACATACATAAGAAGCAAACACACACGCACGCACGGGCGGCGGGAGCTGAAGAGCCGCGCTCGGGGCGGCGCGGTGCGGTGCGATGCGGCGCAGCCGCAGTGTTGGGATGGACTAACTAGTTATTGGGGTCGGGATTTGGGTTGGGTTGGGATTAAGATGATGCTGTTTTTAGGTTGCGCCGCCGGAGCGAGCGAGCGAGCAGCGCAAGGAGCAAGTCGCAAGCGCGGCCAAGGGTGAGAATGAGGATCGTTGGCCGGTCCGAGGGAGCGAGGGCAGGAAGGATCAGGGGAGCGCACGAGCGGCGACTGGGGGGAGGGGGACGGAGCGTCTCGGAGATGGCGACTGGCGAGCGTGGTCCAAGGATGGCTAGGTTCTTCACGAACGCGGCACGGATGCTGCGGTGGGATGTCTTGGATGAGGTGGTGTTATTGTTCATGCTATTCATGCTATTGGTGATGCTGTGATTGCTGCTTTAGGGTAGCTGCCTCCTATTGCGTCGTTGGTGGTTTGTCTGAGTCTTTGGTTGCTTATTGGCTGCTGCTCTTAAGAGATGCGATTGCTTTGCGCCGCGCTGTCGTGATCTTAGACAGCCGAATCCACGATGCGGTCACGAGCATACGTCCAGGCCCTTCAAGAGACGAGGCCGGATGTTATGCGCACGAGAGATCTAGAGTAGAGTCAGAGACATGAGCCAGATCAAACATGTGCAGTATTAGTCATGTATGTAGGATGGAGAGATGGCGATGCTTCTGTGGAGCCTCAACCGGGTTTGGGCGAAGAACTGATGGAGGGGAGAGGGCGTTGGGATGTTGGGATGGATATGGCGCAGGGAGCAAAGAAAATCTTGGGACCGACGGAATGGTCGGTCGGCATGCGCGTTGGCGTTGTTGCCTTTTGATAGGTGCGGAGGTCTTGCAGCAATCGAGATTCCCCTTCTACATACAGGTGTTGTTATCGCGCAAACCGCATACCATGGCGCTGTGTGGAGCAGGTTTCCACTCAATCTGATGAGCGAGCTCGGCTGGCAGCAGCTCGGAGATGGACCCTCGGACTTGGCTGAGTGCGTGTGCTGATGATTCACCATTCTTTCTTTGCCCGCCACTTCTGCAATCATTGCGCCTTCGACACTCCTCGAACCAGAGCGTGCAGCACGCAGAAGCAGCGCGTCAAGCGAGCCATCTGGCTGCGGCTACTGCACACCTCGTGTCGCAGACTCGCTGCAGCTCGACGCCTCGTTCGTCACAAAGGGTCGGGGCGCGGCGTGCGCTTTGGTGAGGCTCTGAGCGCCCGCCTCGTTTCTCGGGTGCGGTCAGCACGATACGATACCACCCGGGCTAAAATTGGCCGTTAAACACTATGCTATGGACCCTGACTGCGTATACCTAGCAAAGCTGGTGGGGTTAGGTGAGCGGGCTTGTGGTGGCTGTGGCTGTGTGAGCGAGCCCTTGCCGGATGCTGCAGCCGTGGCTGCGCGATGGACGCGGCTTTGCGAATCGCGATGCTTTTGCTGGATGGCTCGCTGGTGGCCTCATCGGATGGATCGTATGAGTGAGCAGGCCGCAGGCAGCGTTTTCGTGGATGTCTGTTTTTTCCTTGGCTTGTGGGTGAAGCCCGGTCGAGTCCGCTCACTACTCCATCCCAAGATCCTTTCTGTTTCGTCTTGTTTCGGCTTTTTCGCATCGCGCCATTGGACAGGGCGGGCCGACGATAGTAGGTGCAAGCTATGTCTCACGTCTTTTGTGTCGAGGTGGTTTGTTGAGATGGTTGGCTGGCGCTCGCGCTCGCGCACGTCGGACAGCAGGACGGTAGGCTAGGAGGCTTGTGAGACGCGTTGCGACAACGGACGGGAGGGGGTATATGCGCGGCTGCGGTGCTGCCCGTCTGTCGTGTTGCGACGGCGCATACTCCTAACTACTGCGAGCATGTGGTAGTAAGTGTAGGGTGGTGCGGGGTCTGGTCTGGTCTGGCCTGACCTCTTCCCTCGCGCTCTCTGCTCTTTCCTCTCGTCGTCTTGCTCTCCTTGCTTAGCATGCTTTCTATAGTTACCCTCGGCCTGCGCTGCCACCGTCACAGCTGCACCAACAAGCCCTTCCGTCCCCTCCCAAACGCCCGCAAGCGCTTCTGCGACTGCGACTGCAACTGCGCCGCTAGAACGCTCGCTCGTCATGTGGACACTTACGTAGCGCCTCCGCTGGGCCACGGTTTAGCGCGAGGAGAACGCCGCTGTGTTCTGGGAAGGAGAGGAGTGGGACGGCAGCTAGGAAAAGAGACAGGTCATTGCCAGATCGGCGCATACACTGATCACAAGAGAATGGATGGAGTGGTTAAGCAGCAGCAGCAGCAGCAGATGGTCAGTACCAAGTTATGCTAGATACATCTCTGCCGTCGCCTCGTCTGTCCAGCTACTCCGTCTTTCTTCCCTCAGATGAAAAAGGAAACACTGTTCCAGATTCAACTCCAAACTCTGGCAATTGCACTACGTCTCAGCAGGTGCGAACGACATACCCTGGCCACGAATTCCACTCACTTCCCTCTATCATTTCACATCACTGCTAGGTATTTATGTATACCAACCCTTTACTATTCGATCTAAACTTTGGTACCTGGCGTCCCTTTCTAGGAGCACGTCCTTGATTGCTATACTTCCAAAACCCAGCTATACATGCAGCGAAATGGGGTAGAACGTTTAATGTTTGCAGTCCATGAGCGAGGTAGTGAAGAACTACGTATAAAGATGTAAGAAGTTCTCCGTGGAGAGGAAAGGGAAGAACAACCTATGCTTTAACTTATCCAGTTTTGGCGAATCGCCTCTTGCGTTCAGTCAGAACGGGGCCGTAAGATTCCGTAAATACTTCGAGGTTCTGTTGGTTACTTGAAAGAACTGCAGGTAGTGACTGAAGCCAGGTCGCGCATTACCTATGTACACTTCTGGACCATCGACTGAATACCTTGGCATACCTAGTCCATAAGGCCCCGGGTAACTCGCATACCCCTAAAGTATATTTAAGTAAAATCTACTATACCTATGGAGTACTCCTTAGGTCTCTATAACCAGCTACTATGTTGCCACCAGTAGGCGCTAGGGAACTATATAAAGGTAGAAAGGGACTGTATACGAGTGTTCAATTATAAACGAAGGACGAATATTTATTGGTGCTAGAGCATTCTATAAGAGTATCGAAAAAGATAATCGTAGGGTACGAAGGTATTTATAAATCTATAACGATATAAAATATCTAAGAGTATAAAACAAATTATGTATTCTTCCAGTTTTATTATCACGTAGGGTGGGCGATTTATCTGGGTCCAATCCATAACTAGCATAGACGTGAGCATATAGTGCACATGCATATAGTTTTGTCGCGGTGGATGTAGATTGTACATCAATCAGGCAGAAAAACTCACGCCGTAGAGCGGTATAAAATAGAAATTGCCAACATTCCACGGCAATTAAGATAAAAAGAGATGGGGTAAGGAGCGGAGGCCTATCGGCTCAGTGACGGCGCCAATCATCTATCTTTGCATACATGCATGCACACAATGAGAATGGCCACGGGCGTCACAAAGCGACTACCCGGACCACGCGATAAATAACCATTTCGCACTTCCGGATACCTGCGCGCTACATGACTCTATTGCTTGCATTAATGTCTAGCTATGTAGCTATCAATAACAGCACTGGTTGGTTAGCTACCACGCCGCGCCGAAGTCGAATACAACGATGGTCATCGCAAATTTGTGAACATCGGTGAATGCAGCAACGCATGACTACGCTGCTGACTTTGCACCACGCCGATTCAAAACCAGCGTCACGCACACCGCCCTCTTTCTCTCTTCATCTTTGCAATTTCCGTCTACGCTGCCCCGCTCTGTTTGGGCCTGGGCGATCAATCGCAACGCAACGCAGCGCGTCGCATGGTATTGCCGAGAGATAGAAAGTGCCAAAACACACATAGATCCGCCCAATGTGACGCTTTGACGGAAAGAGAACGGGAAAGTGAACGGAAACGACATCCGTTCAAATGCATGCACGTGAATAGCAGGAGTCAGAAGTGGGACTTAAAATTGTGAAAGTAGGCGAACGAGAGGGGGGATGGGATGCGACATGATTCTTTAAATGTCAATCGTCTCGTTGAAACGAAGGACACCGTGGCTCTTGAACGAGCCATCAATGCTCTCGGGCATGGTCCAACTAGACGTTGGCGGTTGCGTCGAGAGATCTGCGATGAGGACAAGGCCAGCCGTCTTGATGGATTCGATGAGCGCGGGGGCAAGTTCCTGTGTGACGCGAAAAGTTAGCTTGCTGGACAGTAACGTTGGGCGGCGATATAAGGAAGTAGACGGCATGCGTACCAGCAAGCGCGAACTGCATATCAGGCCCATGAAATTGTTGTTCTGTGCGACCTGGACTGCTTCCTTGACGGAAATCGTCGTGCGACCACTACTCTGCACATTTTGCGGGTCTGCTGCCGCCACAGCTGGATCGGCACCGAGTTCATTGCCTAGCAGCACAGGGTCTGTAAAGGTAATCAGTATGCATCGTCAAAGGCCCTGTAAATGTACACATACAGTTTGGCTGCTTCCAGTTCAGCGCCGTGCAAATATCGGCGTTGAAGCTGCTGAATACAATGCTGCGCACCGTATTCTCGTCCTCGGCACGAAGATGTCTCGCATGGTCAAATACAATCTGCAGCAGCGTATCGGCAAAGCCGTTGATATTGAGCGTGGGACCGAGACGGAGTGCTGCTTCTTCAATGCGGTTCGGATATAGGATGTGTAGTTCTACGCGGACTTCTGCAGGGAGTCGAGCTAAAGCGTCGGCGAGACTGACATAAGAGCATGCGAGGATCTGGTGAATGCGGGCGACTGCAACTGAATTAGCGATATATTAATGGCAGCGGCGCGAAATTGAGAAACTTACTGTCGTTGGAGGGAGTCTGCGCAAGGGCATTGAGCACAGCCTCCCCGCCACCTTGCTCAGCACCAATATACAAGAACTCCTCGTACGTCAGACGTGATACGGCAATGTCCAACCGCCCATATCTTACTTTCCACTGCGGGAAGAGCACGGGGACGCCATCGCATGTCATCTGCACGAAAAGTCGAACATAATCGCCTGACAGACTGGAGCCGGTGATGAGGGCACTGGGGTGCTGGTCAAGCTGGCTCGTTGCTTTCCAGTAAGTGGCAAAGTGTGTGATTTCCAGCGGTGGACCAGGGAATGGCTTGACAATATGGAACTTGAACTTGATGCGACCTATCGTTCGCAGACGAGGGTCGAACAGACCCAAGTTGCAGTCACCAGAACTGCTATCTCTGTTCTTGAAAAGGGTAGAGGATGCTTCCGTCCTCGCAATTACCTTGGCACCGAAGGTGGGAAAAACATCAAAGTCTATACTGAACGCATCGATGTTGTCGATTTGGAATGAAATGATCTTGTTCTCCTCGGATATAGGGAGAAGAATATTGCGTGGTATTAGATCGGAGGACTTGGAAGCGATAGTCAGACGTGCTGCCGGATATTTGCTGTCCTCGTAGAACCGAACGGGTTGCGAGTCTAGATCGCCAAAGTTGATGACGACAAAAGTTTTGTTGTCGAGGAAGTTGTGCCCATAGCGTCGGATGGGGATTATTGGAGGTGGAAGGGATAGGTCAGGTATGCCATCAATCTCCATAGCCATTGGTTGCGGGGTGGATGATGGTGGTGGACCCGCAGCCAGCATCGGGGGTGGTGGACCGGGTTTACCCGCTGGTTTGCGTTCCTGAACCACCAAAGCCAAAAGCTTCATGCATTCCAGATGGCCTTCCCAGGTGGCGTAGTACATTGCCGGCAGATCCTTTTCATCCTTGACATCTACGCAGACTCCGCATTGTAACAGGGTCTTCAAACAGTCAACATGTCCCTCGCTTGCTGCATGGAACAGGGGTGTCCACTGATATAGCTTGTCAGGTTGATCGAGATCCGCTCCGTATTCCTGCAGCATCAAAAATATGTTGGGGTTCCTGCCAGACCGGGCAACAAGGTGCTGCGGATACAACCCTTCGGCATCCGGAAGAATCTGTGGCCTTCCCTGCAAGAGGAGTTCAACGGCAGCCTGCAGGCCATGTTGGCAAGCGAGATTGAGAGGAATGTGGTCTGATTCGCCGATAGGATCGATTCGAGCGTTGTTTTGCAAAAGACTTTTCACAACCTCGAGGTGATTGTGTACGATGCCGTGAATGAGAGGGGTAAAACCGTCCTGGTCTTTGGAGTCGATCGTATCTGGCGCCACAGCCACAAGGTCCTGTATCATGCCGACATGGCCATGCATACAAGCGTAATGGAGCGGTATCCGGCCGTAAACATCCACTGCCTTGACATTGGCATTTCCATCGAGTCCGATCTTGAGCACCAGAGCTCGGCCAGATATGGCTGCCTTGTGGAGGCAATTACGAGCGTTGACATCATCTCCTTGATCAAGGTCGACCATATTCGTGTCCAGCATGACTTTCAGTGCCGTTTCAGGAGCGTCATATGCTGTAGCAAGGAAAGCCCGTGTAATACGGTCTCTAGCGTCAGGTAACGATGTGACACGACTTATCCACTCTTCGACTCCAGAGATATTTCCGGCCGTGATGGCTTGCAGTATTTGGGGATCAGCATCAGTATCGGTATCCCGCAGAGCCGCATTCACGGGAAATTCAGAGGCCGTGGTCGTGTACTGCATCTGTTCGCCTTCTGCCCATGCCGCAAACTCAAGCAGGTTAGTCGTGGCTTGGTCTGACAAGTCGCTAATGACATCGCGGTTGAAGCATGGCTGAACCTCCACGGCACGAGAAATGTACAGTTCCTTGGTTCGAGACTAGAACCGAAGTCAGTAAGGTAAAGGTAAAGGCATTACTCGGATTCTATTTCAAACCTTTGACGTTTTGTCCCACTGCAACAATGTCAGCAATTTATTTAGAGAGCCAGCCGCGTGAAGTTTGCATACCTTTTTGAGAATCTTTGAGAATGCGGTGGCGTTTATCTCGACAAACTGCTGGAGTTTGTTGAGATCATTGCTGAACAACCTGAAAGCTTCCTCGAGGATGACATATTTTGACGACACCTTCGACACGGGGTTGGGGCGCGACTGCATCGACCGCTTCTTCCCGAGCAGCGTAGTTAATCTTAATTTCAGTTCAGCTTCCTTTTGCAAGTAGAGCTTGTTGACCTTCTCCAGCTCTCGTTCAAGGCGAAAGAAGAAAGTGGCCTTGTTAGCCTGCAGGGAAGTTTGGGGATCCGTATGTTGAGGACCATCTTGGGCGTGGATGACAGGGGTTGCGCTCAGTTTCTTGATGAGCTGGCAGTGCGGCGTGAGATAGAGCGGCTTATCCAGAAATTCAAGGAAAGACTGACCTTCTTCAGGGCCTTGTAATCGACAAAGCTGGCGGCATACTCGGGAAAGTCGAGCTGACGCTTCTGAATGTGCTTGCCGAACTTCCTGTGTCAAGGCGGCGAATCAGTGCCATTCCCGAAGCGGGAATGCCGCGGGGCAGCCTCGCCATAGTTCCTCTACGCGGCGGGGGGCGGGGGACTTACATGTTGGGCAGAGGGCTAGTCTCCGGTAGGACGTACGGACAGGGTCACAACAGCAGGCCTTTGGAACACTTGTATGGACGGGCCCGGCGAAGCTGGAGCGCTGATTGCCGGTTGAGAGGAGGGGTAGTTCGGGGGACTGGAGACAAAAAGCGTGATGGGTGAGGGCGGTGGGTGGATGAGACTAGCTAGGAGGCCTCTTTCCGCTCATGACGGTGCGCGGTTGGCATGGCAGATGGGCAAAGGAAGCTCGGCTTGACGCGGGGCAAAGAGCAAAATTGCTGACGGGTTCGTCTCTCTCTGGACGCAGGAGCGTTGTCGAGCAGATGGCAGCCGCCAGCTCCGGCCAATGACGCGCTGAATTCGAGCACGTTTTCAGTGTTGTCGTGGCTGCTCGTGGCGGCGTGTGGCGTCGCCTGCCTCACCGCCTTTGGCGGCGCAGTGGCCGCCTCACTTGCCTCGGCGCTTTCAAAATATCAAAATATATATATATATATATATATGCGTGTTAAATGTTCGTTGTTGCATTTGAGCGCACTAGACAAGCTACATCTATACGTGCATCGCACCTCCACCGCCCGTTGGTCCTGGCTCCGACGTCGCGTAGTTTTGCCTGCGGTCGGCCTGCTCGCCCTTGCAATCACGTGCCTTTGCTCGTGGCAAGGTCCTTTCTCGCTGCTAACAGAAGACAATCATGAGAGCTGGTATCCCTTTCCCTCTCCCTTTGCAAAAATAAACCAAAGATGCCCAGAGCCGCTAGTGACCCGGTATCTTTAGAGAAATCAAAGCCCGTACGCATCCCACCCACCAAGGTCGGCGCCAGCTTCATTGAAATCGCTCGCCTCATGCCCAGGACTAACGGGTCGATCGTACTGCGTACGAACGGCGACGTGTGTATCCAACTCTTGGTCAAGTCACAGTTCGTCGTCATCCAGCTCCGAAGGCTTCAACAGACCGCCCACCTTCATGGCACGCTCGCGCTCCTGGTCCTTGGCTTGCTTGGCCGCAAGCTCGCGCTCTTCCGCAAAGAGCTCGGCGTTGTCGCCCGCAAACTCCTTCAAGCTAATGAGGAAGTCACGGAGGATGAGTTTGAAGCGGTTCAAGTCCGAGTTGTTTGCAAGGAGGCCATCGATGAAGTTGGAGATTTGTAGCCTATTACCTTGTTAGCACGCATACACATGGCGGGGCCCAATGGACAACTACTCACGTTTGGAGGTTGGGGAAAGCGTTTGTCAACAGAGCGCCGACAAAGTTCTTGAGGAAATCCCTGTTTGAGGTGCCAACGGGCGCAAGGTCGGGGCTGTAGATGGGGCCCTGGAGCTTGCCAGATTCTACAAGCCAGAAGAGCTTGGCAAGCAAGATCGATTGTTGCTTGAACCCAGCCTTGTGGTCACTGTCTGTAAGCACGAAGAAGACGTCCTGCAGGATGGTGGTGTAGAAAGTTTGGAAGAACGCATTGCACGTCTGAGGATCGGTTTCAGACATGTTGCTGACAAGTTCGAAGCACATGCCCAAGCCAGCAGCCTCAACCTCACGGTTGTCGTGCTTGCTGGCCCACATGCAAGAGTCGATGACGAACTTGAACGAACGACCGTCCAGCTTCAGAAGAGCAGGGAAGCAGCGAAGGTTGATCGTCCGGAGAAGCTTGAAGAACTCCACGCGGTGCTCTGGGTATTCCGAGAAGTCCTTGTTGATCATTTCGAGCGTGCATTCGAACACGGCGTCCATGATGTTCATGATCTGGTCCTCCATCAAACTCTGTAGAAAATTAGTCAGCGGCTCGTCAAGCACAGAGAAAAGCGAATACATGAAGTTGCATGAATCGGCTAAGGTTGGGTCTCCAACGTACATGTAGCTTGTTGATGATCGTGGTCATGACGTTCAGCACCTCAGCCTCACGCGCATCAGGCACGTTACGCTTGTAGTCGATGAGGACAGCTTCCAGCAATTGCGGAACGAGGGTGTTGTGGATCATTTCCAGATCATCAGCCTTGTCAACATAGGTGTTGATGAGCTTGAGTATCTCCTTCTTGATCGTCCGGAGACCGCGAACCCTTGGCATCTTGGTCGCGACGTTACCTAAAGCTATCAGTATGCTTTTTCGAAGAAGGACAGGAGCTCACTTACCCTCCCGCTGAACTGATTCGTCGATCAGACCGCTGGCAGCACGGTACATGGTTAGCATGTCCAGGTAGATGCGACCGATCTGGGGGTAGAAGTAGCTTCCGATAGAACCGCAAGCTGCCACATTGGTCTTCATGATGTTGCCGATAATCTTGATGGTTTCGCCGTCCTGGAGGATGCTGGGATTGTTGTTCGCAGATTGAATGATAGAATCCCAGGCAGCGTTGGGGAGCGACATGAGTTCTTGGATGAGACGCTCCTGGATACTCTTCTGGCCCTGGGCGCTGATCATGTAACCGCAGGCCTCGTAGAACGTGTGGATCTGCTGGGGAGTCAGGTCTATGGTGATTTTGCGCAAATTGCGGACGATCTCGTCGATGAACGGTTCCGTCTCGCCAGGCTGCAGCGCAACGAAGTGGCGTCTGCATTTGTTGGCGATCTTGATGAATGTGTCGCAAGCCATATCCTGAACACCTAGGAATTGTTAGTCCGAGAACATGCAATGACAGTGTTCTGCTTACCCTCGTGCGTCTCGTGCATGAACTCAAACAATTTGTTGACGACGGTCTTAAGGAATTTCCAGTGGGCCTTCAGGAACCGAGGGTATTGGCCGACAATGTACATGATGTTACTGGCAACGACGGCCTTGTTGTCCTTGCCACGCTTCATCTCCGTCAGACCCAGCAAGTCCTTGATGACAGTGACCAGGAACCTCTTCTCAGTCTCCTCATTCATCGCACCGGAAATCGAACCAATTGCCCAGCACAGAGTGTTGCAGTTGGCCCATGACCATTCACTACCATCAACCTGGCGAGCCAGCTTTTCGGACATGATTTGCTCAGTGTCGTTGACATCAAGATGCGTCAAGAAAACCAGGCACTCTCTTGTTGACTTGTAAAGCTGAATGGTGTCGCTCTCCTTGACGAATTCGCGAACGATTTCACCCTCGTCGTTTTCAACGATGAGGACCTCCTCGGGCCTAACCATCTTCTCAATCATGACCTGGCGCAGGTTCGAGAGAACCTCTTGGTACTTGTGCTTGCGCAGAGGATAGTTCGCGAGGACGCTGGGGTCACGGGCGCCACCGTTCGCCAAACCGGCGATACCCATGTTGATAAGAGGGTTGACGTCGGTGATGGGCAATTGCTGCATTTCATCGTAAAGTTCGGAAACGAGTTTCGTCCAATACTCCAAACAAATCTTGAAGATTTCGCGGTCATCGATCTGACTGATGCGGATGAGATAAAAGTGGCCGTGGGTAAGGTAGTCGCGATTCGGGAGATTTTCGATGACGCTCAAGTGCATGGAAAAGAAGTTGCACAGAAACAAGGCCAAGTTTTGAACAAACTCCTGGTCTCTGCTGTTGCTGCTTGCATAAGTAGTCTTCAAATCAAGCTGCAATGGGATAATCTTGGCAATCTCCTGTAGCGTCTCCGTAAACATTTGCACCAACTTCTCGTTGTACGCAGGCTCCGTGTGCAAACTGGCAATCTCCGTCAAACACTTCAGAGTGATGTTGCGGAATTCCGGAACCTCCAAAAATCTGCTACGTAGAGTCTCGATCAGGCTGATTCCGCTCGGCGGGGTCTCGAAGATATAGCCAAGAGGAATCCAGTTGAGGAAACGCAACAGGGTTTCCAGTGTGGCCTTAATAAGGGTGGCTTGCTCGGCCGTCCTCAAAACCTCGGAGCAGAGTTGGTAAATGGACGTGAACTCATCGCACATGCTCTGCTTGAGCTCTTTCGTCTTGGTTGAGGTCATCTGGTCCGCGGAGTAGTCGAAGACCTCTTCCGAGAGCAGTCTGAGGATGGCCATGTTGTTTTCGCAAATGGGGAGACTGCTATGGCAGGAAGAAATGATCTCGTTGATGAAGGTGGGCCAGTTGTGCGGCCATTCCTGCTTCAGAATCGAGACGAGGACCAGGTTGAGCTTGTTCAAGAGCGTGCGGTTCGCTCGGAGGCTCTCCTCGGTGCTAGAGGCCGTGATGATGAAGTTGACAATGAAGTTGCGGATACCTTGGCGCGCGATCAGCGAGAGGTCGCATACAGTGTACAAATTCCTTACCTTGGCACTGATCCCTAGGCAACACCTTCCAGCGCGTCATGATAACGCTGTCCAGGACCTGGAGACCCAAATCTTTGACCTGTCAGCTTCCTATTCTTCCAACTATGATATATCTCTACTTGCACTTTGTCTGGGGGTACGCGGCATCCTGTAGTATCTTGTCGACAAGCAGCCACGCGTCGGGGTTCTCTTTGAACTATTTGCAAGGTCAGCGGCTGCCGAGGGCTCAATGGCGCGTCGGATTCGGAAGTACCTGGTTGAGCGTGAGTTGCGCTTGTTTTTGCTGCAGAGAGAAGCGCGTCAGTTTAAGTTCTTTGACATGGTGGGAGGCTTATCGGAGGACGCACGGGTTCGCCTCTACTCTCGTAGAGGATGCGGACGGTAGCGTCCAGCTCCTCGATTGACATGGACATCCTGAGAGCCGGACTGGATGTGTCTTGTTCGAATGGAACCACTGGCGACGGCAGTCGATTTGCAAAGTTCGCGCGCTCAGAATGAGCTAGTGACACTCATGCAAGGTGGGTGTCGGGCGTGGGCGAGGTACGTTTGCACGAGGTAGCGCGATGGCGGGGCAAGGTCGAACGCGAGCGGGCTAGATTGGCTCGGAAGGCGCCCGGCGGAAGCTTCTCTGGCCGTGTAAAGAGGCGCGGGGAGGGCTTGAGAATGCGAGAGGCTCGAGGGCGTCAAGAGAAGGGACGCAAATGTACGCGAGAACGAGAAGCAGCGCGAGAACCCACGGGACAGCGTTAGGCTTTGGGCGTGTGCAGCAGGCGGCGTCCGTCGCGGTCACTTGGGGCTCGCGTTACATAAGCCTGTACAGCGCAAAAAGCTCTCGAAAGCTCCACTTCACAGCCGCGGGCCACTTCACAGTCACTGCCGGCCCTCCGGTGATGATTAAACACCCCTGCCGTGATTGCAACCGTCGAGACTCTCCAAAGGATATCCACACCACGCTGGCGCCTTCTAGTCTCTCCCTTGGAAACTCGCAAGCGGCGACACGACTATAATAATCAACCCCGAGCCACAGCCGCCGGTCTAGCCAGTCAGTGGGTCGGTGCGCCTGGCGGATGACTACGTACCGGTATCAAAGCCCTTTCCCAGCACGCAGATTTGATATGGCCATGTGTTCCGCGCATACCGGCCGAGCATCAGTTACAAATATTGAATCTGGTCATCTTCATGCACCCGACAGGTGACTGAGAGAATAGACCCATGCCACCGGACATCCACTCGCGAGTCGCCGGGAGCGGCGGGCTTGAGGATCCACGGCAAGCTCGTGAGAGCAAGATAAGTCACCTGAGGCACCGCTAACCGCGGGGTCTGAGTACTTTTTCAACAGGCACGCCGCCGCACGCCCTGGCAACTGGCGCGGAACTGGTTGCCACTTTCACCCCCATGGGCATGAGTCAGCGCACGGATTTGATTGTAACACGTATTTATGATATCGAACAGTTACCATGCTGGACTCGATATCAGTCTTTATAGACGATGATGGTTGGGGCTCGTGGCTCGATGCTGCTGGGCGTCGGACCCTGTACCCTGCGCGTGAAGATGGACAATGCATCGCCGGTCATACGCACCAGGGCGCATCAGTAGTTAGCTAGTGCTTGACTACCGGAAGGAATCAGCACCAGAGTGTCGCATCTCCAATATCAGACCCCCAATTGAACCAGGTGAAACGGGATGACGTATAAGTTTAAGACTGGGCTGCACCGCATCGGTTGGTTTGGGTCGCAAAGGCGGGGGTTTTTACGCTAAGGAGGGCTAGCGGTTCCTGCACCGTCGTCAGTCGTCACCTTAACTACTGCGACCCTTCTCACAAATCATCACGGGACAACAAAGCCGCACGTACATACTCCGTACACGTCCACCGCCGCCTTACCTTCGTCAGTCACTCCAATCACAACCCCGGCGCCCTTGGTATAGATACCGCTACCGCGCAGCTTTCCGATCTACGATTCCACCGCCGTTTCCGCTTCCGCTTCGCACATCCATCACTACTCTCCCCTCCGTCTGACACAATGGCCGCACCCCGATCCGCAATGCGCTCTTCAGAGTCGTCGGCGGCTCCTAGCAGCACTATCCTCGCTGAGCAGACCTCGCCGCTTAACCTCCCTTCTGGAACTCTACGCCTGCGCGCTGAGCCGGTCCAGCGCCGCCACATCCAGTGGGCCGAGGACGTAGTGGACAACGAGGGCATGGGCAAGAAGTCATCTAAAGGTACGTAAATTCCGCTAGCCCTTGCGCTTAATGCGGGCACCTTAACTAACCAGCTCCCTAGTATGCTGTATCTACCATAAGCAGCGCGAGTTCGGCGAGTCCTCCGATGAGTCTTCCGACTCCTCATCCGACGACGACTCCGACAGCGAGCCAGACAACAGCACGGCACGCCCTTCCCGGAACAGTGGACGCGGCCGGCCCCAGCACCACCCTCATGGCCACAACGATGGTCCGAGCAGCGGTCCCAGTAAGGGGAGGCGCCCTGCCAGGAAGAGGAGCCCCAACGCGTACGAGAAGATACCCCACTACAACAAAAAGAAGAGCGACAACTGAAGAAGGGTGACCGGGTTATGATACAAATGATTGCATGTCTTTATGCGGCGTTAGGGAAAACGGCATCACAGCATGGTCTTGGTGTTGTTGGTGTTCCGGAACATGGTATTTTGATTGGTACCACCGGCAGGCTTCGGTTGCGTGGGTTGCTCTTTGGGAACATTGGCTTCGGTACAGTACACTGCAGGGGCATGCTTAAAGACGAAGCAATCCGACAGGTAGATGAGGGGATTAGCAGAAGTACTGGCTTCAGACTAGTCGACACAAGAATCTGAAGACTGATGAATTAGCTAGTGCAATCCAGCACAAGGTCACTGCATAACGTGAGATTTCGAACTACCTGAAAACCTGTCCCATTGTCTACCAACAATCACTGCGCTAAGGCTCTTTCTGGCATTCCGGGAAGATACCATCACTGGAATCCGGGTTGAACAGATGAAGAATCTAGAGAGCAGCAAAGGGAGAAAAGGCGACCAGGTAATTAAGTATTGAATGGAGAGACGTCACCAGCATGAGTTGTCTGCGCGGGGCCACGCGCCGCAGGATAGATATACCTCGCACAATATAGCCCGCTATGGTTGGTTCTATGGTGTTAAACTAGACCCTGTATTCGAGACGGCTACAACATGGTGGGCCAGAAAGTTTCGCATTGTTCCAACCCAAACCCACACCAGCGTGCAAAGACCTGAGAGCAACCTGCGAGGCGCCAGGAGTTGCGCACGTGGGCTGGTGATCCAGAGCTCCGGATTTCTCCGCTTGGCCGGGGCGCGGCGTTGAGGCGACTCCGTCCGTCTTCCTCACCCGAAAGAAGCTCTTGCATTGTTTTCCGTCTCCATCCATCGCACCCTGTACGCATCGCCCGAATTCCATCTCGCCCGCAATCGCCTTTTACTGACCAGGCCCAGCATCTCCATTAGTCGTCGCCCGACCCAATACCGCCATCATGTCCGTCCCTGCCTTCAGCGATGTCTCCAAGGCGTCCAACGACGTATGTTCGCATTAAATCGCTACCTTGCGCATGCGCCATTGATGTCGCGGGCCTGCTGCAGATGACCTTACTCACATTTTGATAGCTCCTGAACAAGGACTTCTACCACGCCGCCGCCGGTAAAGTCTTGCGATCGCGAGTGCCCGCGGCTTAAGCTGACCTGGTTTGCAGCTGTCCTTGAGGTCAAGCTCAAGTCCCCCAACGGTGTCGCCGTCACCACCAAGGGCACTTCTGCTCACGATGGTCCCATTGCTGGCTCTGTAAGTTCTGCTCCAGCTCTATACTTCAAGCTCGTTTGGCTAACCATTCTATGCAATCTAGGTCGAGGGCAAGAAGGCTCTGTCTAACGGTATTACTCTCAAAAACTACACCTTATCAGCACTCATCTTTCTTAACCGCCATTTACGAATCGACTACATGTGCATAGGAATACCAGGCCCGCCTGCACGCGATAGAATTGGGCTGATCAGAATATCAACACCAGGCATCACCGTTACCGAGTCTTGGAACACCTCCAACGTCCTCTCGACCAAGGTCGAGCTCGACAACGTCCTCGCCAAGGGCCTGAAGGCTGAGGCCCTCAGCGTCTTCGCTCCTTCCTCCGGCAACAAGGGCCAGAAGCTCAACCTGACCTTCAAGCAGCCCATGTTCCAGACCCGCGCCTTCTTCGACTACTCCGCGGCTGGCAACCTCAGCGCCATCGTTGACGGTGTCGTTGGCCACGAGGGCTTCCTCGTTGGTGGTGAGGCTGGCTACGACGTCCAGAAGGCTGCCATCACGCGCTACTCTGCCGCCGTTGGCTACCAGACCCCTCTCTACAGCGCCGCCATCACCGCTACTAACAACCTCAACGTTTTCACCGCCTCTTACTACCAGAAGGTCAACGCTGCCGTCGAGACTGCCGCTAAGGCTTCCTGGGACGCCAAGGCTGGCTCCGCCGTCGGTATTGAGCTTGCCAGCAAGTACAAGCTCGACCCTCTGTCCTTCGCTAAGGCCAAGATCAACGACCGCGGCATTGCTTCCCTTGCCTACAACACCAAGATCAACCAGGGCTTCACCTTCGGTATCGGCGCTTCGCTCGACACCCAGAAGCTCAACGAGGCCGGCCACAAGGTAGGAAACACAATCGTTAAACCTGGAATGAGCAGGTTGCTGATTAGAGACAGATCGGTGCCTCCTTCACCTTCGAGGGTTAAATTATCCAATATTGGACGCTTGACAGAGGATTGGCGACATAGATGCGCGGACCGGCTTGCTGATGCTGTAGCTTTAGCTTCCCATTTTCTTCACGAGGAGTTGATGCTAAATGACTACATTGCGATGTATTCTCGTTTGTGCCGCTTTATCTTCGCGTGTAATTTGATCCATGTACTATCATGTATCACCACATACATAAAAACAGAACTAGAATGCAAAACGTCACATCAAACCCTGCCTATAACTTTTCGGCCGGTCGGTTCTTCCGATAACTGCCCCCTGGCCCCCTCTGCTCTTTGACGAGCTCGTCCAGCCCTGCACCCTCTGCCACACGCAGTAGGTATCCCCAGAGCACAGGCGCGCTGTACCCCGCATTTACCCCGTACTCGGCGGCTAGGTTATCGTAGGCCGAGATGAGAGCGCGCAAAGGCGGAATCTGGCCGTTGGTGGCGGCGCGCGATGCAACGGCGCGCAGAAGATTGGTTTCAGGCTCGGAGAGTGGAGGGAGCGTTATGGCTTCTGCGGAGCCTTGATCGGTGGGGAGAGCGGGGTTGACGAGGAGGTCGTCGATGAAGTCGTCGTCGTTGTCGTTGCCCATTGTGTGAGTTGGAGGTGGGGATTGTTGGAGATGTGGACGGGTGCTGCGATGTGGCAATGGTCTGGCTGTCTTATTGGACCGTTCTGCAGCGCGGAGTTGCAAGCATTATGTCTTAGCTGCTCACATCACCTCAAGATTTATCTTTTTTTCCATTTGTATCTCTCTTTCACACGCACTATTCTGCATTTTCTTTCCTTCTTTTACGTGCTTGCTTTTCAATGCGTGCTTCTAACAACCATTTTGTCCGCTCGCAAGTTTTTTCCTGTCTATCAAATTCCGTACCATTTTTCTCGCGCCTAGAGGTTCCACATGGTCTAAGGCTAATGTTCCTGCAGGGACTTGGGCTTATCTGACGAGATGCGGATACATAGGTGAGCTCAGAGACACCGCTAAATCCGAACTTTATTGGCAAGGCGGGTGGAGATGGCCTATCAAGAGCTTGGAGACATCACGATATCAGCGATAGCAGGAGGCCCATTGGGCCCATCCGCTGCGGCAGACTATGGCTTCAGTGTCTGTTTAGTAAGGAGCGATTAGCTGGAGGAGATCAGTTTCACCGTTGGGATCTATGATTGCTTCCCAGCTCAAGACCGATCTGCTCCTAAAAGTCCACCCAAGCCAACGGGGTGAAGACATCAACTGTCGTTTACGACTTGCAGTTCTGGATAACACCTGCCCGCCTTATGAAGCAATACCATACTTTAGGATATTTCAAAAAACCGCGCCCAGCTTGCTTGCAATGGCCAAAGGGTCGGCATCACACGGAACTTGCGCAATGCGTTCTAGAGGCTTAACCAGCATGACATAGACGAACATGGTCGCCAATTCAAGCACATGGGACGTATATACGGCCATGCCGAAATGATCCTGATATGGTTGGGCCATCCGCATTGGGGGCCAAGATCTGAACACTGTCTTTTCTGCTATTTGCAGACTTGACAACTGGCGTCATAAAAAGTTGTTGGAGAATTTGAAGAAGCAACTGTCAGCTTATTCAATGGAGGACTGCCTCGCTTTGACTTCCTCGGTTAATCTGGTCTGGATTATGGATATATACTTAGTGAACTCTGCAGCGTTCCGTAACTCCGATAAGTGTGAGCGACCCGGGAGATTGTATAGTCTAAAATGTAGTGAGAGAAGCGTCAATTTCTTCGCGGTGGCTCAGTTATGCCACGATGATTCTTGGAAAAGATTATTACCACGCTGTAAGAGAGTACAATCTAATGGGCGCCTCTACTGTGGTCAGAGTACTCTCCTTGCTTGACGCACAACTCTTCTCCGTATTTCTGTGGATTGTATTACTTCTGAAAATGGTGTTACTATTTGAGGCGTCGGACCCCTGAGGTTTCTTCTTCTTTCTTCCTGCTTTGCTATTTCAATGGATCGATTTAGACAAGATGCTAACACGTTGAGCTTTGTGGGTTACTGCTCCGGAGTCTGTACGAACTTTCCGTCTTAGATTCCTTGTCTAGAGCGGTATTTGTGCTCTTAGTACACAAAGTGGATGAAGCATATGATTTGCCGTCAGCAGGCTTTCTCCACGCATCCACGTCTGTTTTACTTGAGAATGGCAAAATCAGAATCCAAGGATTGAGATTGACAAAGTCCTTGAAACCTTACCCTCATGGTCAAAGACGACTTCCCACTATTTCTACATGCACAAACTCATAAATTGTCGTCCATCTTTCCAGGACATACGTTGCTAGCCAGAACTTTGTATGCGGACAACCGCATTAATAAGAGTACCTAGGCCACTACGCACTGATTAAGGGTTAAGCCTATTCGCCCCCACCCACCGCCTGCCTAATCGGGTAATAACCCGGCAGAAAGTTGCCTTCAGCACAACCCGCCTACGCCAGTCGCTCGCGCGACGCCGCGCGAGGAAGCGCGGGTAGGGAATAGAAACTAGCACCCCTTGTTTTACACTAAAATCAACTAAAAAATTCCATATCTCCAACCTCACTATCACAGCGCGGCACGCGAAGAGGCAAGTTATTACATATTATAAACGTCGCTTTTTCGCGCCCGCGAGCGCTCCCGCGTCCTCCTCCGCCGCCAGCTCGCTCTATTACGTGTTTAGCCACGCCGATACTTATTCTACCCACGCACTATACATGCTAGTATCTCCCTACCCACCGAGGGTACCGCACTGCTGCTAAAGGCGGGTAGCGTAGGTAGGTAGCGGCGAAGAGGTGTTGTTATACGAAGATACGAACATGCGAAGATACGACGTCGCGATATCGCTAAGTTACATTCTGCCGGGCGCTTTGCCCGATTAGGCAGGCGGTAGGTGGGGGGCGAATAGACATTTGGGGGGCGAATAGGCTTGACCCTGATTAAGCATACAGGTATTCGAGTTTCGGTTCCGGACCAGAAGCAATGCAAAAGGGTAATAGATTCTGTGCGATATGCGGAGCATCTACGTCCTTTGCCTTGAGGCTAGAATATGGTAACTGGCAATTGGTCGGTGTTTGCTACATCGACGAATCGATGAATGAGTAAATAGACGGGGAATGGCTGGTTAGCAAAGCAGAGCCCTAAACTTTTGATGTGGCGACTTAACAGACCATATGAGCAACGTAGATACTACTCAATTGCCCTAGTATCCTTATAGCTAGCGAATGAATGCATGGAGAAGGAGTGAAGAGAGAAAAATAATTAAGTGGAGGATGATTATAATGTCGTAGATAAAAGTTGTATACTTTAGAACGATGGAATTGAGGCGTACGACGGGAGTGATGGATGCTGGGATAGAAGCAACGCAGGAAGGTTGATGATATGGCTGCTCTAGCTGTACCCAACTCTAGCACAAGAAAAGATTCAACCAACTTACGTGGATTAAACGTCTAGGGGTTCTATCCTGAAGATCTTCTACTGATTGATCTATAACAGGTACTAAGGTGTAGGTGTCAAGAGGGAGGATGCTGAGAACTGGTATGTAGATAAGGTAAGAAAATAAAGTGCAAAGCATAGCGCGGCTCTGAGTTTAAACTTGACTAAGGAGAAGATGAATAAAGCGTAGGTAGGATGTGGGGTTTTCTTCTCTTCGCCTTGGATATTACCTATCCTAACTTTGTTCTACCATAGTTGTCGATGTAATCCTCGAGTCTCTAATTGTCCGGAGTTACGTACCTCTAATGCGGTGATCCTTTCAGCTCACAAAATAGGTAGGTACCTTAGTAAGCTGTTAGTGGATTAGAACTCCGAGGATGTCACCTAACTAGTGTAATATATGTAAGAAATAGAGAGAGAAAGAGGGGGGGGAGAGGGGGTTTATAGGAAAATGGATAGTCCCTACTTCAGAAGGTGCCACCAACAACCGGCTCTTTAAGGCAACAGCAACGCAGACGGAAGTAGTAAAGGGGACCTGTCGCTCCTGGATTACGATAGATTCTGGAAGAAACAGGTACCTAAAGGGGGAGGAAGGGAGCGAACAAACTTTAGACGGACGGAAAGAACGACACTCGGGTATTCAGAGCAGCGTCTACCTGCCCTGCATACCCATAACCCAGTTCGATCAACATGGCAGCCACGGCCACAGCAGCCCAACAGCAGCCGCAGCTGTAGACACAGATGGTGCGTATCTGTCCTCCACGACGGAATTGTTGCGACCATTTCGCACTTCAACTCCCACCATCTTACAACCCAACACCAACACAGCCCCCTCCTACCGGAGTCGACCTCTTCTGAGGAGGTCCTCGCTCAAGTCATCCATATCAAGAGATGTCGTATTTACTCACCTAACACGAGAAGTTTTCCTGTATCTTGTTATCAATAAGAGCGTTCTTAGATCAAACTTAAATCGTAAGCAAGACAAAAAGGTGGTTTGTAAGACTATTGCGCTCCATGGCAATACGAACAGAGAGCGGAGTTTGCCCTGTTCATCGGTTCAAGTTTTCAAGAGCACCGTTTTCCTTTATAAGTTGCCACTATTTGGTGTTGATGGACTTTTCAGCCCACCTAAATTGCTGCATTTCGTATTCAAGGGTGGGAAGTCAGGGATAAAACAGCACCTGACACGCCAAAGTATTTAAACCTAGTGAGATAATGGGGAAGTGGACTACCACAGTCTCACTGCGCTCATTAGTACGTCATACTTCCATAATCAATCTTCAAGACCATCAACCTCAACTGGAGCAACGTCAGGATGTTCTCCAAGCAAATACTCGCCGTCCTGGCCGGTATGGCCTCTTCCGTCATGGCAGCTCCAAGTACTGCTCCCTCTCCTCCTCTCTCTTCATCCGAGGCCTTCAGTCTCGTCGCGAAAGTCGTCAATGGCGATCTTTCGCCCTCTATTCAAGGCTGGACAGTGACCTCTTATCACACCGGCGCCGGCCAGGCCCGTGCCGTTCTCCGCCCCGACTACAACCGCACGTTTTTTGAGCACGCCACAAGCGGTCACGATGTCTTCTCGCTCGGCGGTACCCCGCCCTTCCCAGAAGGTGTTCAGATTGACAGCGGCGTCGGTGGCCAGCACGATACCAAGGGTCGACGTACCGTATCCATCAACGCTGGGACTGGAACGTCGGGCGTGCGAATTGCTTCACACGAAGGCACAGGGCCAATGCTTTACTCTGGCGAAAAAGACCGGGATTCTGACGATTCGACCAAATATGGCCAGTTTTACGCTTGCAATGCCGATCTCTTGTATGGACCGGCTGTCGCTCTGTTCTACCACGGCAGCTTGAACTCTACCCTGCCGCAGGGCTGTGTCGATGTGGATTTGTTGCCGAAGTGCGTTGATGCTGATCCGGGCGCGTATGGCCCAGTGACGATGATCAGTTGCTACCCAGATGTCTAGGTGGTGTTTGTGCCATGACGCGAGGATTAGAGACAGTGAGCGGGGAGGAGTGAATTTTTGGTCATTTAATCAGTCAGTCAACTCAGTTGATAATGGAAGCCCTTCTCACCGAAATCATTGTCTCGCAATTACTTGGAGTACCCGGGTGTGGGGTAAGGATAGAAACAGACTGATTGGAGGATTGGCGAGACTGCGGGGGAGCAAGCGAGAGGGCTAGGGGCAAGGTGCGCGCAACGTGGGGTTTCATATCCAAAAGCCATCACTGCGAGCTGCAGTGGCGGAATGCAGGAACCATTCTGGTTCACCGACATCCTTATCTCCATCAACAACCGCAAGCATCGACGCACGAAGTTTGTCTTCCATGCTCTGCCGTGCAGTTTCCGTCGCCCCGCGGGGCATCGCTGCACCTTGCTCATCATATTCATCCTTGGCGTCACCTGGAGCATCCGTAACGGCTCCGATTGGGCCATGACAGTGCCGCACACGCAGACCCGGCCAATGCGACAGCGAGTAAACAGCCCAGCAAACAATCAATGACTAACCACGCATGTGGGTGGGTCGTGTGCCTCTTCCCCAGCCTTGATGACATCTCTTCCTTCAGTGCCCTTCTCTTTCTTCCTTGCCTGGAGCTTCAGCTGAAGCCATACCGCGCACTTGACAACAAGAGATGAGCTTGCAACCGACCAGTGACTACGGCGAGGACAAGAATCGTCACTTCCACGAGGAGCCAACGCCCGTCGTTGCCACTGCTGACCCGGCGGATCAGAAAGCCGAGCACAAAGATGGCGTGCACGACCGTTTGGAGATCCCTTTTGTAGGAAACATCCGAGTACCATCTCCGGATAGGCTTTCGATTCTTTCCCTGGATGAGTATCCTCCAGCTCTTCATACCGCAGGGGCACCTCTCTACCCTCCAACCCGAGAGCCTCCACTAGATCATTCCGGCACTTCCGCCAAGGGCCTCCGTCGTAGGATACTGGCTTCTTGGATCAGAAACAAAGGGTTGTGTTTGGTGTTGGTCTCGCAGATATTCGGAGTGCTCATGAATGTGACGACTAGGGTTCTGGAAGTGGAAGGGAATCATGGGGACGGCATGCATCCATTTCAGGTAAGTGACATTGCCACATATGGCCTAGAAGGTTTTATCTGCACCTAGTTGGATGCATTAAGGACGTAAGCACCGATGTGACACCCGAAGTGTTAGAATCGTACATCATTAATTCAAACACTACTCTACAGAAGCATTCCTAGGCACAAATGTTCAAGTGACTGACACTTGCCTTATTAGATCCTCTTCGCTCGCATGGCGATTACACTGCTGCTTTCTTCTCTTTACGTCTGGTGGGTCAAAATCAAAGACGCACCTTTCGGACCCAAAGAGGTCCGATGGTTGCTTGCTCTCCGTGGATTTGGTGGATTCTTTGGAGTCTTCGGGATCTATTATTCGCTTCTTTACCTCCCTCTTGCCGACGCAACGGTAATCACCTTCCTGTCTCCTAGTCTGGCTTGCTTCGCCTGCTCTTTTCTTATCCACGAGCCATTCACCCGAATGGAGAAGATCGCCGCACTCGTATCCCTCATAGGCGTTGGACTCATCGCCCGTCCCACGTTCCTCTTCAGCTCCAACTCTCCCACTCCTCTCGCCAGCGGTGATGGTGATCTCGCCGCCTTACCAAGCAGCAACAGCACCAGCACCGCCCCGCTTTCTGACGCCGGTAACTACGACCATGTAACCCCCGGCCAACGCGCCCTAGGCGTTGGTGTCGGTCTAGTCGGCGTGCTTGGCTCCGCCTGCGCCTACACGACGCTCCGCTGGATAGGGATGCGCGCGCACGCCCTCATCTCTGTGAACTACTTCGCGGCATGGTGCACAATCGTGAGCACGGTGGCCATGCTCGCCCTGCCTAGTATCGGGTTCCTGCTGCCGTCGACCCTGCGCGACTGGGGGCTGCTGATCTTCCTCGGCCTTTGCGGGTTCATCATGCAGTTCTTGCTGGCGTCGGGACTGCAGTATGAGCGGAGCTCGCGCGCGACTAATATGGTCTACTGCCAGATGCTGTTTGCGTTGGCCGGTGATAAGATTGTGTTTGGCACGGATCCAGGGCTGCTGAGTATTATGGGGAGTAGTCTGATCCTGGGCAGTGCGGTTTATGTTGCTGTGCACAAGGAACAAGCGAAGAGCAAGAAGGAGGGTGAGAGAGCCGTGCCGGATGAGGAGAGGGGGCTTGTAGATGGTATGGAAGGAGCTGATGAAGAGCGGGAGGCTGAAGAACCGCGTGAAGAGGTGGAGTTGAGGGCGATGAGAGAATGAGCGTTATTGAGTTTTGATGTTTTTATGTGTAAAAGTCTTTCCTTTTTCTCGATGATTTGGAGTAAGTATTCATCAACGGTCTAATATGTAGATGGAATAGATGTTTGTTTCTTAAATCTAAGAAAATAGGTGTAGATAATGTTGTATCCGCTTGTGCTTCGTCGAGTACTCGCCTGGCTACGAGCTTGGGTTCTATTGCTGCGTAAAAGTAAGATAAATATATAGTTAGTGTCTTCAACATTAAAACCCAGAGTAACTCGATACTCTTTCGATCCTACCGAGCTGGTGATGACTATGTCTGATACCGGTTCGACTTTAACCAATAGATATAAACACGCGTCCGAAGCCCGATCATGGAAGCTTACGTGTGCATGTACGAGGTGGATATGACGAGGTCGAATGGAGATCGCTGGCACTGACGCGGATTATCAGTTGCAAGCACCAAATGATCAACAGTGTCGTTAATTTTGGCTATCAAAATCCGCGGAACCGGAATAGAAAGTTCTGCCGCATCACCGGGACTGTCATCGCGAGGAACTTGAGACCATTCGTCAATGGCTCGTATGTTCTCCACACCATGGACGATCAAAACTAAGGAGCCACGGAGTCGAGAGCGGATATTATCCCGACCAATCGGAGTGACGTAGACCAGGGAATCCAGAATAATTTAGCCTGAGACAAGAGGGATCGAGTAATTGGAACTGCGTTGAATCCTGTTTACGGCGTGAGATCGAGTCAGAACGAGTTAACGTCTGCTAACGCCGGGTCGGTATAAGACAAGGAATCCATGGATAAATGCACCGCTACGGATTATGGGGCATGAGAGGGACTCTGATCTGCCCGGTGCAGACAATGCGTTGTCGATGCCTTGCCGGTGACGTCATGGACCTGCATCAAAGCACCAAAACATGCACGATACGCTGGATTTGAGATGCAGCATGGAGACAGAGCATGGGCATGCCTGCGAAGCACGAAACGGCGGCGGAATGCGATTATCCAGCAGAGGAGCCAGATAAAAGTGTATGCTAGCGTGTGCGACCAATGGCTGGCCGTTCCAAGCTGTAGCCCATCCCTTGTTGTACTCTCGTGGCTTGCATACTTGACGCTAACCGTAGAACGCGTGTATGTGCAGTAGTGGCACCAGAAATTTTTTGGTCCCCTGAGGATTGCAGCCCACAGTCGGCCTTGTTGTCTTGGTTGTATGCGCTCGATGTTACTTAGGGAAGTAGATACGAGCATGCATTCATGGTTGGAGAGAAACGTCGACCATAAATGCAGATGGACGATGGACGACGGACGAGGCATCTGTCAAAAGTACGAAGTAACCGTACATCTGCACGACAGAATTGCGTGGGAGACGAGTGCGTCTCTAGTCCAATTGCACGACATGGACCTTACGTGTAGGCCTCCGGATGGCGGAACACAGCTAGAGTAGAGTACCACCTTGGCGACGAGCTACCCGACGTGGGTGTAGTGAGTGTTTCGGAGTTCTGCCCTCTTCCGCCGCCCCAGTATTATAGTTTGGACCACATCTAAATGCGATTAAGGCCAGCCGTGCTGATGATCGGTTTCCGTTTCAGCAAGAGTGGAATGTGGAACGTGGCCTTGGTTAATGCATTCCTGCCGTTGTACTCTAGCATGAACACCTCTCACGTTGGCAGAATGCACGACGCTTCGTGCTCGACGAACGCAGTGCGCCCAATCAACACAGCCATCGGATGATGGCGCGACGTGCTTTTTCCTTCCCACAACAGCCAGCCGAACAAACGGGCCGGCAAAACGGTGATCATGCCCCATTGCGGGGAATTCGCCACTCCACGCAAATGGACCCTGAACATCATCCCATTGAAAGAAGAAAAAAAAAAAAAAAGTTAAGAGTGGATGCTAGGACCCTTGGAATTTTCTCGTGTACGACGCAGGTCGGCGGTCGCTGCTGCTGCATGCTTAAAATAGGATCACACACAACCTACCTACCCTTCTTCTTCTTCGGCATCAGCGAGCGTTTGCGCAACGAGTCATGTCGCGGTAGCTTCCGCACGCATACCGAAGCTGAGGCGTGGCTGAGCGCGGAAACCGGCGGCACTCAACAAAAAAGCAACGCGCATAGTGTGTCGTTGCCATGTTTCTCCGCGCTGTTGCAAAGGGTTTGCAGGCTCGGAACGACTCGGGAGCGAGAATGTCTAGATGCTGGGGATGCCGCGGCGCTAAGGCCGCTTCCGGTAAGTTTAGCCAGCCCTACCGCATGCACAGCCACGGCCGTCAGCTTTTTCCGCACCCTGCGGCCCTGTCGTGTCGCCCATAACCCGCCTTTTTTTTTCTCTGCCGGCCCAAGCGAGCCTCAACGCCTTCGGTCCCTGCCTCGTTCCGTGCAGACTACCTAATAAGGTGCTTACTTTTTTCAGATCTGCAGATGCCCTCGGCTTCCTGGCCCGGCCTGGGCCCATCTCGGTACGCCGGCCCCCTCGGCACCCATGAACGCACAGGCACCCGCTCCCGCTAGCCGACCACCAGGCCGCACCCTCCGGACGTAACTTGGCGGGCTGTGTACGAGTACTCTGCTGTACGGTGAGAGAGAGGGCTCGGGGAGTCGGCCTTCGGAGTTAGCGATGCTACTCTGCTGGTCACGGTCATGTGGAGAATGGAGATAGGGGTCTTTGTTGAAGCCGAGGATCAAACATTGCTTGGTAATGTACAGATACCCAAGTCCCTGTGACTAATCGACAAAGGCCTTTGAGTAAGGCGGAGGAGTCATAGGGTGAGTCCGGTAGTAAAGGCGCGTGAACAATACTGCGGTATACGAATACGTAGCCCGGAATAGCCAGGCAGCTGAAGCATGGTGCCTAGTTTTGCTAGTGCTAGACCCTTTAGACATTGTTTATTGACAGACGTGACAGAGACAGGTTGACGGTCACGCGACGTCGAGGCATATGACCAGTCGACAACGCATCCCTCACGCTCCAATCGGCCGACGCGACGGCCGTCTGCCGCGGCTCGACGAGTGGGCGGAGAAGCGTGGGGAGGTGAGGCGCAGTCGATGGAGATAGGGAGTAGGTCGGCACCGATTGAGCGGCTAAATTTGGCGGATTGACAGATCTCAAGCAGCACGTTTTCGCATACGACCATCGAACATCCATGTGCATTCGTGGATCGGCAGTGGCCGGGCGCGCGCAGGGTTGCGGCTGAGGAGGTCAGCGCACATGACGCTAGGGCACTCGCGGGCTAGGCGCTCCGTCAAAAGCGCAGATCTCTCGCCATTCTAGAAGGCCTCTGGTCGCCATGACGTATCCCAGCATTCCACCACTCCGGCCTTGTGCTGCTCTCTTTTGTTCCCCCAGGCCCGGCTCTGGCACCGCACGTTAAAGCACCCCGCGCATGCTACCGTGTCCTTAGTCTCCCCCTCTAGACTCTCCCTCGTCTCCCAAAGCTCGCGGCCCGCTTCCACGCCCTTCCACTGTGCGTCTCACTCGGATCACCTCACGCAGTACTGTTCATTTGCAAGCCCCGGCCCGATCTGAGTCAGGTGTCCCCTCTGCCTTTTGATATATTACCATTCGCCACCCGTCCCTGATCTCGGTCTCGGTCCCACTAGCTACGCATACATCATGCTAGCTTGCTACCCTCGACGTCAATACGCCGACCTTGACAACATACCCTCCCCTACGCCATCGCACCTCGACTTTTTCAACCACCTGGCCCACTCTACCTGCACTCCCTCTCCCAGCGAATTGCCCGACGACAAACAGCTTCGCAGTTACTTCCCTTCCTCTCCTGCTTACTCGAGCAACCCTTCCACTGCCCCCGACCACGCCGACGACCAGTATATGACGAGCACCTACGACTTTTCCACTCCGACTTTTCGGATGTACCAACCTGCGCCTGCTCCTCAATTGCCTGGCGACTGCTCCTACACGCCATTGATCATGGACCCTTCTTCGAATCCTCAGTCTTGGGACATGTTTGCAAACAACGGCCAGCGACAATTGACGGCCACCACCCCGCTGCAGTCATCCCTGCTCAGCAACAGGCGGCGCTCGCATCAGAAGTCGGCCTCGACCTCGACCGTCGGCTCGACCTCGACCTACCACCCCAGCAACACATCCTTCCAGTACTATCCGACGTCCGAGCAGACTCCGTCGACCCCTTCGATCTCCAAACCTGAGTCATCGTCATATTCAGGGTATAACGCGGAAGATAATTCCGGTGGCTTCTCGAATCATCTCCCCACACCCTCCCACACCCCAACCCAAGACACCTTCGCCAACGGCGCTTCCATGTCAACGAACGGTTACACCCACAACAATAACAAGTCCGCAAGCATGGCCGCACATCTGGCGATGAAACAGGCATTGATGGACCAGCATCAGTCCGGCACCGATGGTAGCGTACCAGACTTTGGCCACTCTTCGAGACAGTCCGTCTCCAGCTTTGGCGCCGACTCGCCGGCAACGCCACACAACGCACAAGAAGATTATGACTTCAAGATCCCTTCCAATGGTGAGAACACTACCGTCGAACACTGGCTCGCAGATTACTTACTGTTCGACGATGAGCCAGACATTATACGGCCTGTTCCCAAACTAGACAGAACCATGACGGACATCTATGTCGATGAGCTCTACAACCCCAATGCCACTGTAGTGCCGTCGCAGCCCAAGCCTTCGCAGCAACAGTCGAACAACAACGGTAACAGTAACAACACTCTCCTCTCTCCGTACCGCAACATCATCAACGACCGGCTGCAAGCGGCACACAACGCTCGCTCTCAGTCACCGTCGAGCACAGTGTCCCGCGGAGCATCGCCCTTTCGTCAAGGCTCTCCGCTGGCGCCCCCAAGCAACAGTTTCTCGTCATCGCAGGTCCGACTCAACTCTGCACAGCAGATGAGGGAGCAGCAAAAGACGGAATCGCAGGCGTACGCGCTGCAGCGTAACAAGCAGCCGGACCTTTCGGAGCCCAAGACGATATCGCCCAAGGACGCGTTGCTCGATTACCACGAGTCTGACGAGGACTCGAAGATGCCCCTGTTCCCGGACGGCGGAGCCAACGATTACGACAGCCAGTACCACAGTGGCGACGCAAGCACTTACGACGGATCTTCGGATGTCTCGTACGGCAGCACAGCCACAAGCCAGGGCTGGAGCAACCAGCAGGCGACGGGCTTCCCGTCAGTATCCGGGCCGTCGCCACCGCAGTCGACGTTCAACTTTGCGCCGCCGTCGGTGCCGGGAGCGATGAACCTGCAGACGTACAGCGCGCCGCAGTACCGGCCGGTGACGGAGCACACGCCCGAGTTTGTGCCCAAGCTGACGTCGATGGAGTCGTCGGCGAGCGAGGCCCTGGAGTCGTCGCAGACGAGCCAGAGCAGCGAGCGGACGCCCATGTCGAAGCCGTCGGCGGGCAGCGGAGCGGACACTGGGACGTACACGTGCACGTACCATGGGTGCACGCAGCGGTTCGAGACGCCGCAGAAGCTGCAGAAGCACAAGCGTGAGGGTCATCGGCCGGCGCACACGGCCGGCCTGCCGACGCCGGGGGTGGGTTCGGGCATGACGTCAGCGGCCCTTCTGGCACGTAACAGCCAGGCCGGCCCGCACAAGTGCGAGCGTATCAACCCTACCACTGGCAAGCCCTGCAACACCATCTTCTCGCGCCCTTACGACCTCACCCGCCACGAGGACACGATCCACAATGCCCGCAAGCAAAAGGTTCGCTGTGCCCTGTGCGTCGAGGAGAAGACGTTCTCGCGCAACGACGCCCTCACCCGCCACATGCGCGTCGTCCACCCGGACGTCGACTTCCCCGGCAAGCACCGCAGGCGCGGCGGCGCCTTTGACTAGTGCGTGGGGGAGCTTGTTGATGCGCATGACGTCCGTAGCGTCATCCTGCTCCTTCGCTTGCGCATCGCGTGCGTCATGATCTCCGCCGCGCATCACGCCCGCTCGGCGGCTCCCTTTCCCGCGCCGCCCATCCCTGCCCCCCGGGGCAACTCTCTGCACTTCTCTCGGATGATACTTGCATCTGCCTGTCTCATATCTCATTTCCTACCAGTCTCTTTTCTTTTGCTTCTCTTGTCTCTCTGGTTGCGTGTGCCCACACAAGCGACTGGCGTTGTCCTCTCAAGGCGGAAAAACATTTCTCGATTTTTTCCCTATGTCATCTCCGGCGTTATCTTGTTATTTATGCTTTCCGCTGCCCCGATCCTTGATGATCTCACCAATCGGCGTTGTTGTTTGATGAGCGAATTGCCGTTTCCGGGAAAAAGAGAGAAAGCGATGCGCGACAGCCAATCAAGCGATGTCATGTCGCCTTTTGTTGCTCTTTTTTGTCGCTTCTAACTGTCCTCTTGCTTTTTCGCTTTGTTGATTCCTTTTCCTTGCTTTTTTTGAGTTCATGACGAACGGTATGACGGAATGACGATAACACCACCTACCATGGGGTTTTACCTTTATCACTGTGTGTTTCTACTACATTATTAATTTAATCCCCTGGAGCGCGTCGTTACGCCGCCTGGTGGATGTATGTATGTATGTAACAAACTTCTCTTCGGAAAAAGAATGTAGCGAGCCCAGGTGGCCAGAGAGGCTCTTTGATAGGTCCAAAGCGATAGCTAGCTACGTAGATTGCAAGAATCGCACGAACATGGGTACATACCATCTTGTGTGCATGTGTATGTTGTTGTGTTGTGTGTCTGCATCCGTCTCGTCGTCTTTCTTCCTTCGTGCTCCTTTCGCTGGCTCCTTGGGCTGTCAGCTACGTAGTCGGTCGGCTCCTCACCGCGGTCCGGTACCATCATCAGCATCAGCATCATCATACCTAGCCGTCATCATCATCATCATCCGACGCGACGCGCGATCAACGATGTGATGGCCGGGAACAAGGACAAGGAGGTCCGCCGACGTCGACGTCGCCGGCCCCACAGCAGGTCTCCACGCGCTTGCGCCAGCTCCACGTCCACGCCCACCTTGCACCCGCCGACAATCACCACGCCGACCGCCAGGGATACGCTTCCATCCCGCTTGTCCGCGCGCGATCATTGCGCGATGGATGGAACGCGGGCACGGGGCACGGACACGGGCGGTGCGGGCGCTGGGTCGAAGTTTGGCTGGCACGAGCGCGGAGGGCGGACGTCCGGCACGTGTTTTGCGTGGAGCTGTTCTGTGCCGATCGCAATGATTGATGATGATGATGATGATGATGGTGATGGTGGGAGTGGGAGTGTTTGTGCGCGGTGTCTAGACGGGCCTGTGATGGTTGGTGCTGATGGTGATGGGCTTTGGACTGGTCGGGACGTGATGAAGCTCGGCGTCGACGAGTCGTTCTTGTCGTCGTTCTTCAACCTGTTCGCTGATCTGAATACGAAGTAAGAGCAGGTCCCTGCCTGACTACTACTCATACCTACACGGACACGCATGTCAAGTGGGAGAACCGCAACCGCTCCCGCTTCCGCGCCCGCTCCCGCAACAGCCGCGCTGCCACGGCTGCGGCCCCGTCTGGCCATCTTGCATCAAGAAAGGAACTCCGAGCAGCGCTGCTTACTGCTACCTGTTCTGATGATGTTTCTTTGGTGATGCTAACGACGCAGCACGCTGTTGGAGTCTGTCTCAGGCCAGGGCCATCATCGTCGTCCCTTTTCCGACAGTTTCCCGCTCGGGCTGTCGCCGCTGGCGCTCAGCGGCCCGTTGCTACTGTGGTTTGGGCTTTGGATTTGAGGTTTTGGGACTTCCCCTTAAGGAGCGCCATGAGAGGTGGAGTGGTGGTTTTAGTTTATTGAGATTTTAGTTTATTTGGGGATTTGTCCTGCTGCTAGGGTTGGTTGTTGACGGTGAGTACGTACACTTCGAGTGGGTATTTGTATATCAAATACTTCAACATCATGGTGAGAGTACCCCTAAGATACCAACACTAAACCATGGAAACTGATGGAATGTCGAATTCAGCCTGATTTGTGAAAAGTAGCTACCCGGGGAAGGCTTATATATAAAGATATTGTGGTCTGTGCTTGTGATAACCAAGGTACTACACTGCTTCCTGCAGTGTACCAGGCTATAGATGAAATCAATGAATCATGATCAATTACTCTTTCAACACAAACAAACAAAGACATTTCACCTCGATCTATCCCAGCTCGACCCCTACCATTTATAGCCATCCGTCCTGTCTCTCCTTCTCCCTCAATGACCTTCTCTAAGACTTACTTTGTAGTACCAACTAGCCTTTTGTAGTAAGAAGATAGTCGTAAGGACTTCCCCAAATGTTAAAAGATAAAAATATTAAAAACAAAGCGGAACTTCTGAAGCGAGCTATTAGAAGGATGAACAGATACATAAAGTGGATAAGATTTTGGGGGAATTGGACAGTTGCGCGTGGGTACCTCTCCAGCTAGTGTCACTGACGGCGTCAAGGGAATAAACAATGTAATAAAGCTGGGAATTTTTCGAGTAGTATTGAGTAAGGTGTCAGCACTGCTATTACAATGCTTATTGCCTTTCTAAACTATCCACTACAAATGTTCGCAAACAATAGAGTTCGGATTTACTTGTTCTAACACATATCCATTCCCAAATCTTTACAGGTCAAACTCAACGCCTTCGCAAATTGGGCCTACTCTCCATCCAGACTAAGTAAACTTTCTCTATATCATTGAACAGTTAGACTACTTAGAAGTGCTGACGGAAGTCCTGCTTAAGTGGGATTTCCGTAGTCATCTGACTTTCTTCCGTTTACTGATTGATGGGAACATCACTGGCAGTCTTTCACAGTAGTTAGTCTTCAATTAATCTAAGACTTTCGCCTCTACTGATTAAATGCTGATACCCATGACTACCCCCATCAACCATTACGGCAGTCCTAGAAACCAACAAATATACTCGAATGGAGTTCTTGGACACTAATTTTGCAATATAAAGGTCCTAGCCCTCCGACATACCTAGTGAAAGATATGCGGATGGTACGTTCTTACAGTCGAGGAATAGTTGAAGAGAGAAAGTTCAAGTTAACTATCCGAGTTTGCGACTTTTCCGGATTTGAATTTACCTGATAACTTGTGCTATTTGATATCCCTTACCTTGGGCAACGTCGCAGAGACAATGCTGAGATACACAGACGAAATGATAAAATGGAGCTTTGGCGAGCTTGAGACCTTGATTGTATAGCTTCCCCCAACGTGGAAATAAGCCTAAAACGGCCCTCTTCTGCTAATAGAATGCGTCTACTGTTGATGCTTTCTTGCGATCTAGAGCGTACACCCGCCGATAGTGAAGATTCATTTTCCATTTTTACACGTAACCGCCCATATCCACCCTTTACAAAGAAATTTCGCCCTTCCACGTGCCGTCTGTCAGACCCAGCGTCTCGACAAGGTGCTGCCACCTAGGACCACCCCGCTCCTTCTTCTGCACGTACCGCAGCAGCTTCTGCCGCCTGTGCACCAACAACCTCAAGTTGCGCTTATTGACCTTGTCCTTCTTGCCCCGGAGCTGGAGATAGTCGGCGAGCGCCTTGATCTTGACGGTCAGGATGCCAATCTGGACCTCGCTGCTGCCAGTGTCCGGGCCGGCGCGAGTAAGAGCCTCGGGGTTCAGCGGCGCGGTGCCGTCTGCCCCGACCACGCTGCCTTCGACGGGAACTGGCGGCGGGGCATGCTGCGTCGTCTGCGCCGTCGGCCGGGGAGGGAATATCAGGTCCGTCTTGTGCCGGCCAAACATATCAATGCACCGCTGAATGTTGGCGCGCGTCTTGTCCTTGGAGTTGGCGTTTGCCAGGCTGACAATGCGCTGGATGGCGGTTGCGGCATTGCTCTGCTCAAGCGCGATGGTCTCGGGAGACTTGGAGAAGGCTTCATTCTGAAGCCGCAGCTGCTCGCTAATCTCCCCCTGCTCAGCCGGCGTGGTCAACTTGTTCGAAATCGCCAACGACTCTTTGATTTCTTGCGGCGAGAGGTAGTGGTTGAGGAAACGCTCAGAGGTGGCATCTGGGCCTTCGGGGGTCTGAGAGGGGTCGGTGGTGGTGGTAGAGGAGATCTTGGCGTCGGTGACCTTGGGGGTTTGAGGCAGCTGAGTGTCGAAGCTTTGGACAAACGGCGTGGGAATGCCTCTGACGGGGTCACCGAGCAGATGGGCGCGCTCTTCCTGCAGAACGGCGCGGCGAGAGAGATTGGCAGCCTTGCGAGCGCGAGCCTGGGCCCGGAGGTACGGGTCGTGCAGCTTGCGGCGCGCGGCGAGGGACATGTTGGCTTGCTTGTTCTTGGCATTGTTTGCGGGCGTGGTGCTGAAGGCGCGGATGGCGGAAGCGGGCGAGCATTGCGGGGCTGCTGCGGCGTCAGTGAGGGCCGAGTTGGCAGTGGGCGAGGTACGCACCAGTGGGCGCCCGCAGGCGCACCGGCAGCGATATGCGAGGCGGCATGGCGGGCAATGGGGCGTCGCGTGCCTGCTTCGTCGGTGATAGACTTGATGGACTTTGCCCGGCCCCCCCGGCGCCGGCACAACGATCCGCCGGTCGGCGCGGAGCGGGAGTCCGCGTCGTCCGTGCTCCGCCAGGTCGCGACCCGGATTGCCTGAGTCTGGTGGTCTGTGAATTGCGATGAGCGTCGATGATCGGCGTGCGTCATTCGTGGTTCGTGTCAGTGAGCCCATTCTTGTTTCGACGTCCTCCGATGCCGTCGTCGCGGGGTTGCGGGCTGCGGATCGGGTGGGGTGTGTCCAATGCTGGGGCAGTGCATCACCCGCCTGGTTGGTGGTGGTGGGTATTGGGGAAGTGGTGATGGGCAGGGATAATGATGGGCGAATAAACGTGCGCCATGTCTGTGTGGGGTTGTGCGCGCGTTTGGCGGTGGTTAGTTAGTTGCTGGGTGTTATATCAGCGGCTGAAGGTGGGCGTCATGGTGGGAGTGAGGAGACTGGCGGTGTATGTCTTGTGTGTGTGTGGCGGTGGGCGAGTCGGCGAGCTGGTGACTTTGAGAATTGACTCGCAAGATGTGGTGGATGCTAGAGGCATTGGAAGGGAATTGTGAACTGCCTGATTCCTTGCACGTCTAACTGGAGACAGCTTCGTCAACTGAAAGACCGCTCTAAGAAAAGGAAAGCTTACCATAAGCAGAGGTAATATTGGGAAAGGCGAAACGCATTTTTGACAGCTGATTCACGACTACCATTATAAGCTCGAACGGCAGTTCGCTTAGTAAGAACTGGAGTGAAAACGTCGAGTGGTTTAGTGGCCATTCATGAAGGTAATTAGTTACACACTTCAGTAGTAACAACCCGGAGTTCGAAAGTTCGATCCACAGCTTTGGCTGGTAGCACTGGGAAAATATGTAGGATTCATTGGAAGACGCCAAGCTCCCAAGGGGTCGATTGCGTACACACACATCACAGGACGAGACACAGAAATTCAGAGAAGGAAACACAAATTGCTTGAATTGTTACGGAACGGATCTCAGGAGACAATGATGCGTTGTTGGTATGAAGCCGAAGCAACCATACAAGAATTAGAGAGACCGTCCGTGAAATAGAGAAAGCCATGAAGCAATCGTCATTGAAAAAACCAGTCGTGTCATAGCCCATTTGTGCAAGGACCGGAAGTCCCTCTATCAAAGGCTCTTTGAGAAGCATCCTCCGGTAGAAACCAAACCATGTGAAGGTCCGTCCATGCAGTCTAGTCGCCTAGGGCCGCAAAAGAACCGTTTATGCCACCACCAAAGTCCCCTTCACAGTGTACGCCGTCTGTATTCGGAATGTCGTAGGGCTGGGCAATGCCGAAAACTGAGAGAAGTTGCAATGCAAGTCGATAAGAAAGCAAGGTCGAAAGTCAAAAAGGTCGCAAAGTCAGACTCCGGACAAAACCAAACTACCACACCGCCAATGTAACCCACCACCCGGGCCGGAGTCGGAAAGGTTCCTCATAGGGTTATGCGTACGGGTGGTGGGTTCACTCTCCAAATCATTGAGAGCGATGCTGCTGAGAACTCGATAGCCGGGCATGAGTATGGCCGCGGTCGGCCCTGTACCAATTTCAGTCGGGATAGTCTACCTTGGGTTCCGGGCCATTAGCGTTGATCGAAAGCTTACCGAGGGCCTCTGGGCCACCTCTCCGACCCTTGCCGGAGGGGAGCCCTCTGAGGTGTTGTGATTCCGGGCTGTGTGCCTCTGAGTTGGAGTCGCACCAGTAGCAAGGGCTGTTGAGTCGTTAGCAGCGTCGAGACCATCAATGAATGCCCAAATCTCGGACAACTCACTCAGAGAGCCTGGGCCGAGTGTTTCGCGCAGGTCCTCGGCCGCGTTTTGACCATGAGTAGGGGCAGATAAAATAGGGCCAAAGGCAGTTCCCGGGTTAGCAGCTCTAAGAGTCGAACGGTCACCCTTGGTAGGTTGAGTGTTTTCTTCGTCTGAGACGAACTGCATGAACCTCATCGGCTCCCGATAGAGAAGGTGAGACACATCGATGGTTTGGTTGTTCTCTGTATTGGACAAGTAAGCTTTCCCGGTATCTTCATCAACGTAGAAGTCGGAAGGTCGGTTGTTGCTTTGAGCGTTGGAAAGGGTCAGTTGGATGTCTTCATTACCGAGCGTTTCATCGAAATCGTAGGGCATATTCTTGCCATAGATGGACACGTTTTCACCACTGGGGAGCATATCGCCATCTTCGGGTTCGTCGTTAGACGCCTGCATGACTTCGGAAGGTATTGGATTAGGTGCCTCAGCAAACTCCATGACATTTCCGTGAGAAGTGAGTGGGGTAAAGTTGGTCAAACAGACGTGTCCGTTAAGTTGAAGGTCGAATTCGTTAACCCACCAGTCCCGAGTGCACTTGGGAATCTGGTTGCCATGGGCATCTTTCATCCAAAACCATTCCTCCTGTCTTGCCGAATAAGGGAAAGATGCGGGCAAGTTTGGGCAAGGCGTAAGTGGAGGGGCATGAGGTTGGGAGGAGACAGGCGACATGGAGCGAGCAGGCCTCAGGGAGCGGGCAGGCGGTAGAGCGGAGACAAGCGGCAAACCATTATCATCGAAGAACGCGTCCATGTTTGAAGGACCTTCATTTTCGGCCATGTTCGAAGGTCCTTCGTAGTGGGAGGAGACAGACGGCCAACCATTATCATTGAGGAAGACATCCATGTCGGAAAAGCCCTCATGTTGGGCCATGTAGGAAAACCCCTCATGTTGAGCCATGTTTGAAGGACCTTCATGTTGGACCATATTCGAAGGACCTTCATGTTGAGACACATTCGAAGGACCTTCATGTTGAGCCATGTTCGAAGGTCCTTCATGTTGAGCCATGTTCAAAGGTCCTTCATATTGAGTGATGTTTGAAAGTCCTTCATATTGAGCGACGTTTGAAGGCTCTTCATGCTGGGAGGAGACAAGCGGCAAACTATCATCATCACCGAGGATTGCATCCACGTTGGAAGGACCTTCATGCTGCAAGCTGTAGTGCCCGAGGTGCTCATCTGAGTCGGAAAACAGGAAAGACTCTCTGAGCAAGGCATTTTCGTCGAAGTGTGCAATAAGGTTGCCTGCCGATTGGGATGTGCGAGCGCGTTCCTTACCCTTGGGGGACGAATGTGCATTCCAATCATTGTTAGAGCGTACACGCTCGTCAGCATCGAAGAGAAATCTCGACAGCTTTGGGCTAGCGTGGAGGTTCTGGTCCACAGCCTCAGGCTCGTTGAAAGTTGTGATCGTGTTGCGCCTAGTGTGGCGAGCTTTAAATCGTCCAAAGACAGCGCCCGTAGCTTTCTTGAAGAGGTTGTTCTGGCTAGCTTGAGTGTTTAGCGATGCGTTGGAGTGTTCTAGCTTCTGAGAATCTGAGGTGCTGTGTGTTGATTCAGTATCGACCTCGTCGACGTTCTTAGCCCTACCGAATCTGCGAGCTAGAGCTTCCTTGAGGTTCCTGCGAGGTGCTTGTGGCAAAGCAGTCAGGCTCTCGTCAGCTGAAGCAGAGATCGGTATGTTGTCAGTATTGGCCTGGATGCCTTGGGACAAGCCTGAGGTTGGACTGTTGTCAATGCCGACTCCGGCATTCGCATACGAGTGAGGTGATAGACCATTGGAAATGTTGGCATATGGGTCTTCCTGCAGTTCGGTGGTTGGTGTGTTAGCAACACTCATGTATGGGCTCGAGGGCCAGCTGTGGAGCGATCCGTCATCATTGTTGATAGGTATGGGGTTGCTGATCTGAAAGTTGCTGATCTGAGGGTTTCTGATCGGAATGGGGCCACTGATTCTGCTCTTGAGATCACTGCTTGAGGTTGAGCGACCCCAAGATGGAAAACTCGGGAGCTTGGGCATGGCAAAGCTCTTCATGTTACGAGACTTGTCATCAAGAGGCTTCGACTCCGGTCTCTGCAAGTTGACAGACGATAATCCTGGAATGGGAGGCAACGGCTTTTTGTTATTGTTGTTGCGACTGTGAAGCATGGGAGCGCTTTGAACGGCAGGGCTTGAATATGAGTAGCGCATCTGACGGCTCGGCGGTCGATGGGTCCCGCCGTCAAATGAGCCTTCTTCGAGGATAGTCTCCATGTCGTTGGAGTTGAGTGAAGGTGATGGTGTTCGCTTCGTTGTCTTATGGGACCTGGAAGCAGGGTGAGGAGAAAGGGCCAGTTCGTCTGGGCTGTCGGACGCGGCAAAATGTTGCGCAGCAACCGAGCGACGTGTGCCGAAGTGTTGGCGGCGCTGTCTCTTCTGTAGTCGCGAACTAGCTGAAATGGGAATATTACGTCAGTGAAGGTGACTTGGTGAATGTGAAATGCTTGGCGACTGTCTCTATTGCGTGTGAAGGATGAACACACGTCTTTCATGCTCACTGTTGTCATCGTCATCATCTCGAAAAACCGAGAACGAGTGCCCCGGGCCTCTTGCTCTCTTGCCGTAGGTTGCCATGACTCGGAAGACGACGCACGCGAATAGAAACGATTGACCACAAGTAAAGCGAAAGATGAAGAGACGAAGGTGAGAAATATGGAGAGGCTTTTGATGGAGGGGACGTTAGTATACGGCCATCTTGCAGTTTGGGAAGCTGCAATGGGCATGTCCACGAGTGCGATGGCTGTCATGCCTACGGGTGCTGCGACTGCTGCGACTGCTGCGACTGCTGCGACTGCTATGACGCTCATTACTTCTCCCCTGCCTTTTCCTTTCCATCTACATGTCTTATCCGAATTTCACAGCTCCCAATGGCTGCACGGGAGTAAGTAATTGCATTTACCCCCTTGATCGTTTTCGCGCGTAGTCGGAGAGGCACGAGAGGCATTGAGCCCCCAAACCCCGCCGTAACCCTACCACGCCCACCACCTAAGCCCTTCGCATGATGGCGCACGTCTGCATGCCTGGTCCGCTCGCAGCCAGACGACGATGGTAGTCAGTGCAGTAGAGCGGTCGTCGGATGTTAAGGCTTGGTGGAGCTCGGGGCATTACTTTCTGCGCGCGGTGATTGGCCTGGATCGTCGGACAGTCTTGCCTCTCGAGCCGCTCTGCCCTACCGTCAGGCCGTTCTCTGTCTGCGCTAAAATAATCCCGACGCCTTAATACCGGCGCCACCTTCCCTACTACTACATTTACACCTCCCACCCGCACGCCTCTTGCCTCCTCTTCCTTCTTTCTTTCTTCACTTCACGCCGCAACCATGTCTTTCTCCTCGCTCGTTTCCGACCTGACTTATCGCGACAACGACCGCGACGACCGCCGCTCGCAGGTCTCCCGCGCCCGCTCCTACGCCAGTACCGCCGCAACGAGCGTCAGTATTTCCGGCGACATCAAAAGCCAGCTCCATGGCGGCTACAGTCATCCCCTTGCGAGGGCCTGGCAGGCCGAGAGGCAATTGACCAAGGTGCGCTCGGCAGCGCTTCTGAAACCATGATCCGCCCCTCTAACTCGGCCGCTGCAGTCCATGCTTATCTACCCGCTTTTCGTCTCCGACCAGCCTGATGAGGAAGTCCTCATCCCCTCCCTCCCAAACCAACACCGCCGCGGTATCAACCGTCTCGTCCCTTTCCTCACGCCGCTGGTCCGCAAGGGTCTGCAGTCCGTTATACTATTCGGTGTACCGGTCGCGCCGGGCGTTAAGGATGCATTGGGCACTGCGGCGGACGACCCGGATGGCCCTGTCATCCAGTCGATTCGCCTGCTCAGGCGGGCGTTCCCCAGCCTGTTCATCGTCACCGACGTCTGTCTTTGCGAATACACTAGCCACGGCCACTGCGGCATCCTTCGCGACGACGGCTCCCTGAACAACGCCCTCTCCGTTGACCGCATCAGTGACGTCGCCTTGGCCTACGCCGATGCCGGCGCGCATTGCGTTGCTCCCTCGGATATGAACGACGGCCGCATCCGCGCCATCAAGCTGAAGCTGATCGAGGCTGGTATCGCCCACCAGGTCGTGCTGATGTCATACTCTGCCAAGTTTTCTGGTTGCTTGTACGGTCCTTTCCGCGACGCTGCGGGATCTGTCCCCAGCTTTGGCGATCGCAGATGCTACCAGCTCCCTCCTGGTGGTCGTGGTCTGGCTAGGCGCGCGATCGTCCGTGACATCAACGAGGGTGCGGATATTATCATGGTCAAGCCTGCATCGCAGTACCTGGACATCATCTCGGACGCCAAGGATCTTGGAAAGGACCTTCCCATTGCCGCATACCAGGTTTCTGGAGAGTTTGCGATGATCCACGCGGGCGCCAAGGCTGGCGTTTTCGACCTCAAGACCATGGCATTTGAGGCCACGCAAGGTATTTTGCGTGCCGGTGCGACGATTGTCGTCAGCTACTTCACGCCAGAGTTCCTCGACTGGCTCAGCACTTAAAAATATGCCTTTAAATACGTGCACTTTCTATACCTACTGAACCTACGGTTCTAGGGAAAAGACGAAGCACAAAGCTTTGAGACATAGAGCTGTGATATTTCGTCCGGGCAGCATTTCACCTCTGGCGTTGACGGAAAGGTTCATCGGTCTGCTTTTCAAGGATTCCCATCTGTGGCAGGTGTTTTTTATTCTCATTCGGTTCTTTTCTTCCTTGTGGATCTTTCACTCTACACAAAAAGGAGGTTACCTTCAGCTCGCGCTGCTTCTCGATACGCATATGCATATAGCCAATGATATCCACGTCGCACACGCTTACCTCGACCCCGCTTTCTAACTGCATCGGCCGAGCCTGCGCCGGGCCGCGCCGCATCGCGTCGCGCTGCTGCTGCATGCGCGATCCCGTCAACTCGACCACTGGAAGCGTGCCTATGCGTTATCGTGGACGGCATGCTTCTTCTGGCGCGCTCGAGTACACCATGCTCCTGGGTGCGTCTAGGTGGCTCTGCGCCCGCGGCTCGCAACTATATCCATATCTGAGCGCGCGACATGGAGCGCTAATGGGACTGCTCCGATATCTGCCTGTAGAGCCGGTCAGCCAGCCAACCCTATACATGTCCCTAACGGCAAAAGAAAGGGAAAAAGTCTTTGCCGACTGCATTCATCCCGCCCGGAGAGGGCTCCTCCGTCAGCCAACTAGGCATCCGCGGGCTCGCTCGCACTCAGCGGCAGCAAGTAGCATAACGCGGCATGTCTCGGCATCGACGGCTCGGCATCGACGGCATCGACGGCATCGACGGCACGGCGCGGCACGATACGGCGTGGAGACCCCGTGCCGTGGCCGTGGCGGCGGCGGACGGATGCAAACGTGGTTTGATGCAGAGATCCAAGCAGGGTAGCGAGCTATGTGGTGGGGCAGGGACGAGGGGGGAGAGATGGCTGCGGACGCTTGTCACCGCTCCCGCTATGACTGACTACGATCACCACCGCCGCCGATGCTCTGCTCAACCCGCACTGTATGGCCTACATACAGTTAAGAGTAATATATGTCACGCCGGCTCGTAGGGACCTGAGCAGGGGGCGTGTCATATACAGCCAATAAAAAACCATCTAATCAACCAATATCTTGCTCTCATTCGTTCAGTCGTGTGTTGTTCGTGAATCGAAGGCCGTCTAACTAGCTGAATAGATAGGCAAATAGGGATAACCTACCCCTATCCAGAGAATCTGTCGAAAGAAAGAACAACAAAGACAGGCAAGCGCGTGGCCAGCCAAGCCAGGAAAAGAAAGCAGAAACAGCAGCATTATCGTCGTCGTGCATGGATGCAGACAGATGCAGAAACCGAATGCAGCACCGCGCCCTCTTCTTTCACATACCCAACCCCCCACCGCACACACTCTACACTCTCGTTTTTATGCACGCTCTCTACTACAACGACGCGCTCTCCTTACCCTCAAGCTCGCAAAACGCCTTGAAAGTAACAAACTCGTCCCCCTCGGCCTCGAGGACGCACTCCGCCGTCGCACCCACGAAATACACGAAGCCCGCTTCCATCTTCTCCTTCTTGGGCCCGACGGCGATGCTGCCACTGCCGTGCGTGCACAGTATGATGCTCGGGCCCTGGATGCCATCGAAGGTGGCCTTGGCGCCGGGTGCGTTCAGCGCCGTCCGAACAACGCTGAACTCCTCGATCGGGGGGTCGTATAGCGTGGCGACGCTGGCGGAGCTGTACGCCTTGCTGTTGAGCGTCGCGTACGGGTAGTCCGTGGGGTGCATTTTCTGGTCCGAGATGGGCGCGTAGCTGTACGTCAGCATGCGCGTCAGCGTCGACACGTCCTTAAACTTGGGCGTGAAGCCGGCGCGCACGACGTTGTCGCTGGAGGCCATGCACTCGATGATGTCGCCCGAGAGGTAGGCGTGGATGTCGTCGGCTTTCAGGAACATGGCTTCGCCGACTGAGAGCTTCACGTAGTTCAGGAAGAAGAGCACGAAAAGTCCGATGTCCTTGGGGAATTGACCGTCAAGGCGCTGCACCAGATCCGCGAGTTCGCGTCCTTCGTTGCTTGGGCCGCCAGAGCCAGCGAAGTCGTCGCCTTCGCTTTCCGCGGCTTCGAGAAGCTCTGTTGCAGCGGACTCGATCTCTTCGGGCGAGGAAGTCATGAGGGCATTGAAGGCTTTGCGCAGCGCTTCTTTGTTGACCTTTTCGTCCTCTTCGGAAGATGACGTCTCTTTTCCCTTGACGGTGGTCTCGAAGTTGGTGGCCTCTTCCTCGCCGACGAGCTTGCGGAAAGCAGGGACAGTGGAGAGGAAATGTGAGATCTCGGCCAATGGGCGGAAGCCACAGAAACCGTCAAAGGGCGTTATGGCAATGGTCATTTCGGGTTTGTGGTTGTCATCTGGGGAAAGTCAGCCCTGGGGAAATCGGATGTGGGCCCTCCCTACAGAGGGTCTTGCATTCACTGAGCATACCGGGGTAGTTGTCGGGGTCTTTTTCGTGCAGCTCTTCGGCTAGCCGCTTGTTCGGATGGGCTTGTATGCTTAATGCCTTTCTTATTGAAAGCACCTTGAACAAGAACGGAAGCTTCTTCTCATAGCGCTCCGTGATTTCGGAGCCCATCAGCGCCTCGTTGTCCTGCACGAGGTCGAGGAGCGAGCGTTGAGTCTCGACGTCTTTGGACGGCAGAGAATGATGCGTGCCCATCCATAGCTCGGCGTAGGGCTTGTTTTCTTGGATGCTGAGGTCGTTGGAGGGCGTGGCAGCGGCGTACTTGGCGGCGGCCGACTCGTTGCCGACCTTACCTGGGCGCGGTCAGTGTGCTGCTGCGTTGCGAAAGAAAGTGGGGTGACGGACCCCAGTCATAGCTGTTCACGCCTAGGGAGGGTCAGTGAGAGGCGCAGACACGCAAAGGGCTGTGATATATACCGCATTGAAGCCTGATCAGAGGAACCTGCATTTTTTCCGTCGCGCGCAGAAAAATACAGAAGTGAGAGCGACGAACAAGAGAGATGCCGATCGAGCAGGCACATCAGACGTCACGCCAAGCTTTCCCGCTACGACTCGCTTGCTGCTGAGGCGCCGCGTTGTCTGAGTCGTGCACCGTCCCAGAGAGCAATGAGAGGACGAAGTCAGAGAGAGAAGGACTCAAGGGAGCAAAGAAGAGCCATACTGTGTCTTCCCTTGCATCGCCTAAGCTGGAGATCGGATCGACTCCCCAACTGGATCACGGTCCCTCAGCCTTATCACGAATCCAGCAAGCGCAAGGCAACAAACCTTCACAACACAACAACAACTGTTTTAGACTAGCCTCATCACCAAGAAGGTCGAACGTCTTTCATACTTCTGCTGATGCAGCATGCTTACAAAACGCGTCTCTGAAACTCCAGATCCGCACCCGTCAGCGGAACCCACCAATCCGTCGGTATTTTAGTTTGTCAGCACGTTGTCGGCTCATCCGCCTGCCGTCGTCCGTAAAGTCACGCGAGCCTCGGATTGCCAGCTCGCCGCCCTGGGTTCCTTTCGGACAGTCCACCAGCCGGAGTACGTATACGTCACCCAGCGTCACTCATAATGAGCGACACGGAGCGAGCAGCACCCGGGAAGCAAATGGATAGATGCAGTACGGAACGGAGCGGAGCGGAGGCAGCGAGTTAGACAGTGTATGTACTCGTAGAGTAGGTAGAGTAAAATCACAAGCCAACCCGTGGCGGCAGCTGCCGCCTTCTTCGGGGCCCGTGCACAGATTCCTAGAAACATGCAGCCTGGCAGCGGCGTAAGCTCCTCTCTTGCTTCGACAACTCTAGTACGAATTTAGTATTCGGCACGACTTGCCCTTCTCAAGCTCTTTGTGGATTATGCCAGCGATTGCATCGCCTTCGCCTTAGGTGCACTTTGTGTAGCAGGGTGCGGGGCCAGAAAGTCGCGCTTCCGGCACCGACAAGGACGGTCGACCCGGCAACGCCAACGTACCAACAACGTCAACGACATTCTCATGCCCTCAAGCGAGCAAGACGCTTCCCCGAACGCGACGCGCAGCCAACCCACACCCACGGGCACCCGACACCAGAGCGACACAATGGCAAGAGCAAGGGCGCATCGAGCTGAGCCGGACCCTGTGCATATCCACGTCGACGAGGAAGACGACCAGTCGCAGCACATGGATGAGAGTCGAGACCCGCTAGAAGAGAGCGGCCGCACCGTCGAGGACAGCGATGATGAGGAAATAGTGGACGAGGCCGTCTTGGACGACATGGAGCGCTTCGAGGAAAGCTTCAAGGGCATCAGCAAAAAATATCGCCTCATCAATCGCATCGGCGAAGGCACCTTCTCCACCGTTTACAAGGCCGAGGATCTGCTCTACGACCAATACGACAACAGCTGGGACCTTGATGGCCAGGACCACTCGTACTCGTGGAATTCTCACCGTAGTCGGAAGCGCACACCTCGCTATGTCGCCATCAAGAAAATCTACGTGACTAGCAGTCCGCTCCGCATCCTCAACGAGCTCGAGCTCTTGCACGACCTCCGCGACTCGGATTCTGTTTGCCCTCTCATCACAGCCTTTCGCCACCACGATCAGGTTGTCGCCATATTGCCGTACTACCAGCATCTCGACTTTCGAGAGTACTTCCGCGACATGACCGTCTCGGACATGCGCCTGTATTTCCGCAGCTTGTTCACGGCTCTCAAGTCCGTGCATGAGCACAACATCTTACATCGTGACATCAAGCCCACAAACTTCTTGTATGCACCGCACCTGGCACGCGGCGTGCTTGTCGACTTTGGCCTTGCGGAGCGCCAGGGCACCGATTGGCACGTCTGCACCTGTCAGCTGCGTCCGAACGAACGACAGCATAAGATAGACCACAGTGCCTATGCCAGCACCATCGCCTCGAATCCCAACCATGTCCCTACCTTCCCCAAGACGGATACTCGCCCCAGCAGACGTGCGAATCGCGCTGGTACCCGCGGTTTCCGTGCACCGGAAGTCCTTCTCAAGTGTTCGGCACAGACTACGTCAATCGATATATGGAGCACTGGTGTTATCCTCTTGACGTTGTTGTCGCGACGCTTCCCGTTCTTCCACAGCGCAGACGACATTGATGCACTACTCGAGCTGACCAACATATTCGGACGGGCTCGCATGCGCGAAACGGCACTGCTGCACGGTCAAGTCTTCGAGACCAACATTCCCAGCTACAGTGAAAATGGACATGGATTTGAGAAGATTATTCTCTGGTGCACGAACCGGTCCGGCAAAGATGAGCAAGGTCGACGCCTCAACAACTTGTCGAGTGACGAAAGGGAAGCAGTGGAATTCATGGAGAGGTGTCTCGAATGCGACCCGACCAAGAGAATCACGGCCGAGGAGGCATTGTGCCATCCGTTTATTTTGAAGAGCGAAGAACAATTGTACGACGATGACGATGCTGTGGACATGGTGAACTCGCCATGAGTGGGGACGGCACCACCGCACCAGCCCTGGACCACCATCCACAAACAAAAAAAGAAAGCCAGCCCCAGTCCCAAGGTCCAGCCTTCCAGCCAACGGGCGGGAACAAGCGGCAATGACGCCACCGCGCCACAGCCAAACAACAAAAACCCACAATCAGCCAATCTCGCACCCAACCGACCACTCACAACCCGCCTTGTAATATTTTCGATAGCATGGCCTTTTTTTTTTTCGTAATCGCAGTCTCCGATTAACGAAGCCCACGGAGATATCGCCCCCCGTTTTAGATTGATCTATGATGATAGCAACGCACACGCATGTACTACCTACCGGGCGCGCTCAGTCATACAGATCTCACCACCACGGCGACAACCACGACCAGAAACCGGGCATGCTAGGTGAGCAAGCGGCGACGCGGGGCGTTCGCGAAACTTTTGCCGCTCCAAAACCCTTGTCCGTCTCGCGCAATTCCGCGCGCGCGCGCAACGCGCATCGCGCAACAACGCGCATATCTTGGGCGCGCCGCCAATGAGTAGGGGACGCCTTGCCCCCGAGTTAGTCCCGCGCCATGGGGGAAAAAATAACGCCGTCGTGTTCGAGGGGTTGCGGGATACCCCTACCGACTTGGGGAAAAAGAAGGGGGAAGGAAGAGTGAAAGGGGAAAAAAATCAGTGACGAGGGGGTGGCTTTTTTTTTTAAAAAAAACCTTTTCTTTTCCTTTTCTTTCTTGAGGTGGCTGGCGTTGGCGTTTGGCGTGGTCTTTGATTGTTTCGATAAGACTGCATTGCACGCACGCATGTAGGTACCTAGGTGGTCAGGTGGTGGTCTTTTCTTGCTTGCTTGTTTTGCGTTGCGTTGCTTTGCATCCGATAATAATGTCTCTGGGCGTGCGTGCTCCATCCAGCAACGCAGTCACGCAAAACGCCCTTATCTGTGCTACTTTCTAGCCTCTCTTCTTTTTTCCTCTCTTTGCCTGCCTTTCCCAAGTACTACTCGTCGTGCTAGTGGTAGTATAGGTGGTAGTAGCAGTAGCAGCTAAAAACGACAGGGTGAGAAGGGTTATGTAAAAAACAAAACAAAACAAAATACAAAAGCCAGGCCAAGCCAAGCCAAGCCAACAAAGACCGAGCCCAAGTACCTGTGTCCGCGCGTGCGTGTCTGAGTGTCTGAGTGTCTGAGTGTCCGAGTGTCTAATGGTGGGCGGGTGGCTCCAAGAAAGCAAGAAAGAAAGTGAGAAAGAGGAAAAGTGCCCTACCCTACCCTACCCTAAGCAAAAAGCATAGGCAAAAAGCTTAAGCAAAAGCGAAAAGGCGCAAGCAAAAACAGCCTCCCAAAGCCAGACAGACGGACAGACGGATAGACAGACAAGCCAAAACAAGACAAGACAGGGCAAGCAGAAGGTCAGACCTCTCACCTGGTGCCCTGTCCCATCCCATCCGTCCGTCCCCGTGCCCGTCCCGTCCGTCCACGTCCCGTCCCGTCCCGTCCTAAACCCATGATATCATCCATCCGTCCGATTCCCTTGATCGCCTAGTATGCCCCGTGCGTGTGTGTGTGTGTGTGTACGTATGTTTCCCCCTGAAATCTTGAGCCAGAAACACAACAACACAATAAAAAAA